TAATGTGTAATAAATGGGATAATGAAATACTGCACAAGAATCAGCAAACAGTTCAGTTTCAGTTAAATTCATTCAAGTGTTAGTCCAGGTTCCTCTTTTCTTCTGCAGCACCATCTGCACCGTTTCAGATTACACATGGAGGGAAACTACTTCAACCTACCCACTCATCTATACCACAATTATGTCGTCTTGATCTCTTGGTTTCCAACCCGTCCATTTCCATAAAGTGAACCAAGTTTTATGGAAATATTACAGTCCAGCATTAAGCTCCTCAAGCCCCAGTGGGCAGCAGACTTCAGTCCCCACAGAAGCTGATTTTCCTCTGTTAACTCTCTGAGGTGCGGGGGTGGGGGGGTTGGGGGGTGGGGGGCAGCATTGAGTAGAGTTCATCAAAAGTCAATAGGGTCTATATGAGTTCAGCTCACACAAACATCAATAGATGCAGTTTACTGCAGAATAAGAGCATTTTCACTCTTTGTTTGTTTTTCTTTGATCTGACCAAAACAGAAAAATAATGCATCGCTGCATTTCAGTTCCAGTTCATTTGTAGTTCACATTGTCTAATTACCATCAAAGCAACATTCTCCGAGTTCATGTAAGGTCACATTGACTGAGAGATAAATCAGACTTTCTGCAGTTTTGATGAGTTGAATCCAAATCCCTCTGAATCTCTCATCAGATCTATTTAGATGTCCAAATAAAATTGAAAATAACCAAACCTTAACGCTTTAATTAAGATCTGTTGTTAGTGGTTATGTTGTGAGTGGCTTCCAATTTACTTTTCACAGCAGGTCCTGATACAGAACTGTTATGGTGACTTGGTGTTAATGAGAGTTTAACCAGGAGAATATGACAACTGAAACTGACATGACACAGTGCGATCATCACCACTCTGTTGTAAAGTAAAGTAAAAAACAAACACATGGTTGGAGAGTGGCATTAAGCTTTTAGCTCCAGTCCTGCTCATCATTTACACCAGTAAAGTTGACAGTCAGCACCAGTGACAAATGAGAGGCCTGTTACCTTAATGCTTTGCACATTGCTAATAAGAGCGAAGACAAAAAAACAAAACAACCCATCATGACAAGGGATTTGTTTGCTCCAGAGAGTAGAAAATCCATTTGTATTATCAACCTGGAACCGGCTCTAAAGTAGAACCAGCAATTACAGCCAAAGCCAGCTATCATCCTGCGTCAGGAGCAATACACAGAGCCCCAGAGGAAAATCAAAAGTGAGTTTATTCCAGTGACTTACACCAAGTCAAGTTGCATGTTACTGCACAAAAGATATAAAACAAACTGTCAGCCAACACTAATGACTCCCCCTGTACTGAAAAGTGTCACTCACAGTGAGAGCAGGGGTGACAAAGGCCTCCAGAGTTAAAATAGGTTCCTGACCTTTTCTGACTCATGGCCCATTTGAAATTCTCATAAATGTTGCCGGCTCACATCCGACCCCATAACGATACAGGCATATGACGTGGTCCAGTGGCAAAGTGGTCCAGCTGGCAACAACGTAAAAGCTCCTAAGATCACAGTGATGGACTTAATACGAAGAAAAGCAGGTTTTTAAACATTTTAAAGCTGTTAAAGATCATTTAGTTTGAAGACATCTAAAAACCTTATTCATATTTTTATTTTTTTTATAATTACATTTTTTTTTTTTTTTTACCAAACCTGATGAATGAAATCACATGATTTGGCGGTCCATTTGCAGTACGGTCATGTCCCACCAGTGAACCGCTGGTGTAGAAGACACCCAGCAGTAACCTCTCATGTTCTGGGATCTCAGCGATCACCACAAGTTGTAATAAATAAATCATAGTTTTATTAAAACGTTTCCACTTTTGACCTTCGCTGTGTAGCAGCTTAGCTCTCGTCTGCACTGCATTTGATTTTACACATGCATTTGAAGTTGACCAGTGCAGTTGCATCTGTGTGAAAAAAAACCACAACAATGACTTATTTTATTATAATTATGTTGTGAATTGTATTTCATTCTATTTTATTTGGTCTTTTATTATAAAATTTCTTATGGTTTTTTTTGTTTGCTAATGTTGTTATAGCTTTTTAAATCTATTTTATTTCATTTCACTGTCAGCTTTCTTTCTTGATTTGTCCATCGTCTCCATTTTCCTCATATTCCCCTTTAACGAAACTATTTACATATCGATATACACCAGTCTACCGGCCCTGTGATAGACCAGTGGCCTGACTGAAAGAATGAATCCATGTACAGTGTCAACTCCCTCTGGACTGTTCAATGTTAGTCTGTCTTAGAAAACCAAACTTCTCTTTCTTTGTCTGTCTTTTCTTGAAAAGGTTAGCCCCCCCCCCCCCCCCCCCCCCCCCCCCCCCCCCCCCTCCTCCCAGCCTACGTTAGCTGCTACACTACCAGGCTGTTCATGTGTTATAAGAAAATAAGGGGGTCAGATGTCCCCTTACTCCACAGAAGTTTGCACAGTTTTTTTTTTTTTGTGAAGTGCGAAGCGTGTTGTTTGGAGCTCTAAGTGCCATCCATCCAGCAGCTTGCAACATTCATTTCTCTCAGCAAAGTCGAGCTTTCTCTCTGTGTCCTGAAGAAAGGAGGAAAAAAAAAAAAAAAATTCTTAATCCTCTGCAGTTTTGACAGATTTCAGCCCACCACTGTCTCTCCCCACTAAATCAATCTCCTGCTCCCTCATACTCTGCACAGCGCTCTGCTCAACAACACAAGCAGCGTCCACATGGATTCAGCTGATGAAAACACTGCGCACCGCTGACAGACATGTCTAATGTGAGCCATATCACAGCGCAGTCCCACCACTGACACACAGATTTATCCCCCCTCTTCCTCTATCTCCACTTCAAACTCTGAAAACTAGAGCAAACAGTGACGTCTGGTAACAGCTTGACATTAAATTTTCCACAAAGCAGACTGACAGAGCGCCGATGAAGCGAGATGTGCTGCACAGACGAATAATGATCGATAGAGTCTAAAGGACAAAGAGTATCTGGGCTTTTAGTCTCTGATTACTAACACAAGTCAAGCTGGATTCAGACTCCAGCTTAAAAGCATCGTCCATGTCAACAGGTTACATCATAGAGGCCGAGGAGCGGGCACGCAGACATAAAGTAGTTTTATTCTGAGTCTACAAGTCACTTAAATTTGAAGAAAGCCAAGTAAAGCACAAGAAACACAGACGTACTATATTTCATGTTAATTGACAGGCCACCCTCGTGTCTTTGCCTCGCGGGGTTTTTGTTTCTCCGTCTGTTTAAGTGAAGGCACAAATGAACTAAAATCATTATCACTGGTTCCCAGTCAGCTCCTGAATCAAATTTGAACCTCTTTTATTGGTTTTCACATCCATAAGCAGCCTGACATCTGCATGTTTATCTGATCTGCTTGTTTCTTATGAGACATTTTAGTTTACCTACAGCAAACACAGAAGCAGCCGAGGACCCGCTCAGCCTCTGGGACAGGACTCCTCACTGTGTTATACTGTTGATTGTTTTTCACCAATTTTTTCTTAATAAATTCGATTAGAGTTTAAACATTTCCACTCGAACCAATCATGCTACAAATAATGAAACAAATTCTATAATAATTATTAAATTAAAATTCAATTAGATTCTGGTGTGATGCTGGAATACTTCTCAAGAGAGATTTTAAAGTGACCTCAATTTGTAAATATCTGCAAGAATGTGCTACATCATTTCTAATGAATTCAATATCATTCAAAGTGTTGGTTGCGGCAGGTTAACTCCTGTATTTCAGTAGTAACAGCAGCTCCATAGACCATCAGCAGAGCCCCCAGTCCTCTGGACGACCATTCACTTATCAGCTGACCGCCTTCTTTCAGCCTGTTTTTCTCGAAAAAAAAAAAAAAAAACAAATCTTAAACTTTAATTTTAAGGTCATTTTCCAAGATTCAAGAAATGTCATGTAGATTCAACAATCAACGTAAACAATAGTCTCCAGTTTGCTGTTTCACAAATACTTTAATGAAATTAAGAAAAAACTTTATCATGTGTTTCATAATTTGATTTAATCGTTTATATAATGATCACTCCAACGGTCTTTAAAGGCCGTTCCTTAATGCAGCGTGACAGGTGTTGCTTGCAACTCCGCAAATCCCCTAAACTTGACGGTACGTTTTAGCATCCCTCAGCTCGTTGTTTTGGTTTTACAGCTCTTGGTTTTACTGCTGTGGTCCAGTCTCACTTCTTCTATCAGCCTCGTTTCCGGCAGAAAAGCTTCGATAAACCCACTGCACGCTTCTGTGCTAATGTAATTAGGAAACTCTTTGCTCACACTGTCGCTTCAACAACTTTACAAGGCCATAATATGTAAAACATGTTTGTGATCTGCAGCTTGTTGTGGAGTTCTGCCCCCAAGTGGCCACAAACACTGATCAATGCAGATTCAAAGTTCAATTCTAGGCTCAATACATGTAAATGGGAAACAACCTCAGTGGTGAAATGCTCTGCGTGAAGTGCTGTGTTTTACTGGGTAAACATTTGATCAGTGTTTCTCACTGTATGCCTCCACCTGATAAATGCAGTTGTTGTGGGTGAGAGATGGATGGATGATGTGATGAACTCATTTATTATTCAGGCCTCAGTGTGTCTGAAGAAGGACAACAGGACAGCGGTATAGGGAGGGAGGGAGGGAGGGAGGGAGGGAGAGAGAGCGAGAGAGAGAGCGAGAGTGCGCGCACGCGCTTTGGATACTAATGAGAGTTTATCACAATGATACAACCTTCCTCATGCATCTTTCATACGAAGGCCTGCATAAGAACACAAACACAAGAGGCTGTGTGATGCATTGTTGCGTGTTCAGGCATTAATGATGTTTGACGTAGCCATGAGACGGTGAGTCTGCAGGACGATGGACGTGTTCTTTGTCCGGACAAATGCTTGATATCATAGAAAGTGTAACATACTGGTTCATGTTTTATCAACATCTGTTCACATTTGCAACAGAAGACTTATTTCAATATATAGAACAAGAATGAACACATACAAAAGACCTTATAAATGTAGATATTTACATTGCAGGATAAAAAATACTAATTTACAACAATCTCTTGGTCTTTTAAACAGCAGCTGTTCATAATCACACACAGTATTTACATCATGTACAGTAATATAATGTTCTTACAGGTAACACAAGAAGAAAAATGATGTTAAATTATTAAATTAGTTTGGTAATGTTTTGTGTTGGAGCAGGACGTCTTGTAATCTTCCACCTGGAACATTTAATGATGGACAGGGGCTTTTCTGTATTTTTGTAATAGTCAGCAAATGCTACAAAAAGACCAAAACCAACAATGTGTTTGAGGGTCTCAATACTTTCCTGCAGCTCCGAGCCCATTTGATCCTATCAAGGATGTGAATCTTTAAAAACAGGTATGAGGTTTCATTAAAACAAAACAAAACAAAAGAAAAAAAAAAACCAACAGGCTCAACACTTTTTTAAAAGAGCTGTTCAGTGTAGTTTTTAGCATCTGCCTTCAGACTCTTCTCAGCTGTGGATTAATATACACTTAGTATATAGACGAGTAGTTACAGCAACATGACGGTGTAGTTGGCACTGACACAACAATAAAAACGACAGCAATGATGTTCTTGCTAATGAAGGAAAATGTCAGTCAGTGCAACCCTGGCTTAAAGGAAAGGTTACTACAATAATGTGCTAATTTGCAAAAATGTATTCCAAAGTTGAGTCAAGTGGATTTCAAGTGTTTTCAGTACAAAATTCCTTGTTTTTGTTGCTGTTGTTCGACTGCAGCTCAACAGGGAAACACAAAGAGGGAATGAAACTTTGGCAGATACTTTTGATACTGGAATTGATCCTCCTGACAGCGTTTGTCTGTACTTGTCAGTTTAATGTTGGTTTTGGTTATTTCATGGGATTTATTGTCAATAAGAAAATATAGAATATCACCAGACTTATCCTTTAATTCCACAGAGCAAACACGAGTTATGGAGTTCTGTGCTGTCAAGATTTTTGTGGCGTCTTTATGAATTTGTTTAGAGTTTATCTATCCAACACATAAAAATACTTTTTTTTATGCCTAGCGTAGCTCCGACACATATTCAACACGTTCCTACTCTACAGGGTTTCGGACGGTTTTCATATCAGTGAGAACAATGTCTCTGTAGCGTCTCTCCAGTCCCTCCATGAACTCCAGGTAGTTGCTGACCTTGAAGCCCTGGATTGGCTCCTCCTGTAGGTGAAAAACAAACATTATTGTAGTCATCGACTCAGTACCAAATTAAGGGGGAATTCCACTGTGTTTTTTGTTTCTTTTTACACATAAAGGTCACTGGATTCATCATGGGGTACTATACAGGCTGAGAAAACAAACCCTAACCCCTTTACATTTGGAGACTACACACAGTATTTAGAACAGAGTCCATGTTGCAAATTGGAGGCATGGAGTCTGACAGACCCGGGAAGGAAAAAAGATGGTACAGGTGGCATTATGGGAAATTAAACTTGACATATACTAGAGACTAAAAACTAATAACATCTTGGCTTCTGCATCTTCAATTTTGATCTGACCATTTTGCTACAGTTCACCATATGTAATATTCAAATTCTGAATGTGTTGTTTATGCTGTATATAGTGCCCACAAAAGTAACAAAACCTAGCATACACTGAATGGACATTAATCCAAGAAAAAAAATCCCATAATGCAATGTGTAGATGTAAACATTAAAAAAAAATACTGTCTGTCTGTTGTATAGGGAGTAGTGAATGAGGGAGGGAGTGATTTGTCTTTGTCTCTTGCATGTCTCTCCACTTCATGGGGGTGCAATATGAAATCACTGGAGTACCACTTTAAAAGTAGCAATGAGGATATTAAGTGTCCAAAGTAATGTTTAAAGCACGGATTGTTTGTCCATACTGTGTTGCAATTTTCATCACTTCATTAAGTTTTAGTGAAAAGCTGCAGTTATTATAGTTAGAAAGAAACTAAAGAAATATGCACACAGACTGTTTGGTTGTTGAGGTTGAAGGTGGCTTGCTTTATTATCACTCACTTTGTTAGGAGGTGAATTTTGAATAATTCGATGTAACCCTTTCATTAAAATATTTTACATTCAATCTATTCCAAAGTCACAGGAAATGAAATTAAATCTAAGGGATCGAGCTGCAGCGTGTCAGTAAACAACATCCATGCTTAGCCTTCAGTTAATGAGGTTTTAACGTGAAGGAAAAGAAAACAAACCAGCTGCATAGATTTCTTAATACGTACTAATATCTCTACCACCCAGGTACACACATACCGAGACATTTCTTAATATGCAGAGATATCTTAACCGTCTAAGAGACACGTATCAGACCAGACAAAAGATATTTGGCTCATTTGTTCAGTCAGGATTTTAATTTCACCTTCCATAATTGCTGCCTGAGCGTCAGTATGCATCTGTCATGACAACACACAACCTCACGGGCAATACAAACACCAGAGCAAATAACTCTGACTTGTGTGCATTATAGTGCAAGTGGCATCATCAATTAGCAGCCTAAGAAACGCTGCACCCAGAGGACACGCCGCATTATAGGATAGAATAACAATAGAATAATAATAGAATAACAATACACATCGCAAACGCCATGATGTCACCCACAGTCATTATCCAGGCCAAGGCCTTTAAAAAAAAATATATATATATATATATATATATATATTTATATAAACCAGCGTTTAATGACTTCTGCAACGTGTCAGCACTCTCCTCTGCACAATGTGTTTTTGGAGAATCTAATTACAGGTTTATTTTAGCAGGTAGATAACACTGACAGGGACGTGGTGTAGAGAGAACAGTCAGTACTGTGAGCACAACAAAAGGTTGGAGACTTCCTGATAATTTATTTCCCTTTCTAATCAGACTGAAGATTTTCACACACAGTATAAATACAAATATAATCTATCTGGCTATTAGCTATGAGCAGTGGTTCCTAACCTGGAGGTCAAGACCTCACAGTGCAGCCTATTTCTTATCCACTAAATAGTGTTTATTTTTTCAGACTCTTCCTTAAACTTAGATTTTTAGCCACACCAGCAGCTTGGCATCGTAGGTCGGTGTGTCCGCCACAGAATTATCTCAACAGCTATTTGATGGATTGCAGTGTATTGTGGTGCTGACATTCATGGCCCCCAGATGATGAATCCTACTGACTATGGTGATCTTCTGATGTTTATCTCTAGTGCCACCGTGAGGTTGACATTTGTGTTTTTCAGTGAAATGTTTCAACAACTTTTGGTGATCCTGACTTTTCATCCAATGCCATCAAACGCAAGTCATCAGATACTTGCAAACCTGCAAAACTATTGATATTCCTATCAGCTTCAATTGTGGTTTGTGTTTAGTGCTAAAAATGTTAGCATGTCAACACACTAAACTAAGGTGGTGTGGTGAATGTGTTAAACATTGTACCTGCTAAACATCAGCATCTTAGCATTAGCTTTGTTAGCATTTAACTCACAGCAGAGCTGTGCAGCTTCACAGAGCTGCTGGTGTGGCTGTACTCTCCACAGTCTTGTCTGAAATGCTGGATAGTTTGATTTATTTCAATTATTCAAATTAAACAAATATCTCAGACATTTTAACCTCTTCTGACAGGTCACATGTGAACATTGATTCATTTAAAAAAAATACACAAACCAAAAAGGTTGGGAACCACAGACTTACACTGTCTTCCAGGGCTAGATAAAAGTCATGTGGTAATGCCTAATTCCCTTAGATCAGTGATCCCCAACCTTTTTTATGCTTTTCATCCCCTAATAGGAAGAAATGTCTACTTTTATGTCACTTTATATACTTTATGTTAAAGCAGATGTCTGTAATATGACCAGAAGTTCAATCAAAGAGTAACTTTTGCTGCTGAGACTGTTTAAATTTTTTTCCCCACACAGTGTATTACAAAAAAAAAAAAATCACCAATTCAGGGCAAGTCAGGATATTAAATATAATTTTCTGTATCCAATTTTAAGTTTCTTTTCTTATCTACTACCCTGAAAATCATCTCAGTGCACTTTAAATTCATCTCATGACCTTTGGTTGGGGCCTAGACCTGCCTCAGATCACCAAAGATAATCATCAACCAAAAACCATGCTGATGTCTGGATCTTGGTGTCATTTGTAAGGTTATGTTTTTGTGACTGTAGAAAAGCCACAGAGCGAGAGTGAAGTGCACAGAGAAGAAATAGATTAAGAGCAAAAGGAGCGATGGGTTTTTATTATTTAAAGGGAGCAAATAGAGGGACTACAGACTGGTGATCGTTCAGCGGGGAGTAAGTAATGTCAGGAAGAAATGAGTTTTCAGTCTGATGGAGGACTCAGGCTCCTGTGATTACTCCAGGCACCAATGCTTTACTACATAAAACACACTTTATAAGACAAAAATCATCTTTTAATCATATGCTACTACGAATTTGAGGTCACCAACTGCACTTCTATGATCTACTGAAGTTAATAAAGCGTGGGTTTATTGTCAGCAGTACCAGCTACATAACTTTAAAACTATTAAATCCATATTTTGTTGGTGTGAAAGTATATAACCAGATTGGTAAATGTAACACTATTCTTCTTGTCGAAAGAGTATATAACACAAAGTACAGGACGTCTCCCAGTGGACTGTCAGATTCTTTATTTCAGTGTAGATTTTGCAGACTGAGATTAATCCTGAAGAATCATCAAAACTAAAGTTACTTTGCCAGTTCATTAATCGCAACGGGAAACAGCTGCTGACACAGTTAAAACCATGAAGGAGAGTAGAGATAAGCAGCATGAATCACTTGGGCAAGTATTTTTGGTCTGTTCTTTTCTCTGGGAGAATTAAAGAGGGTGAGAAAAGATGCAAGGACATATGTGTATAGGAATTAGGGTCTAAATATGGATTCCTTAAGTTTAACACAAAGTGTGTGCCGATGTTCAGCTCCGTTGAGACTGGATGTTTTCATACTGAACAGGTGACAGGAGCTGCTTAATGTCCTTAATAATCTTCACAATATTTTAACCATTAGCTGTGAGGAGATCATTAGGTAAGCTAATTAATGTAGTAATTACCAAAGATTTCTAAGTTTTCTTAGACTTGTCCTCACATGATGAATGAGCAGTATTAATATTCAGTGCGAGTCTGGGTTTGCACAGAAGGTGACATTACAAGGAATATACACTCACTGAGCACTTTATTAGGAACACAATACTAATACTGGGTAGAGCTTCCCTTTATTCTCAAAACAACCTCAGTTCTTTGTGTCCTTGACTCCACAAGATGTTGGAAACTTTCCTCTTGAGATTCTGCTCCATGTTGACGTGACCGCATCACATCATTTCTGCAGATTTGTCAGTTGCACATTTCAAGCTGCCAATCTCCTGTTCTACCACGTCCCAAAGGTGTTCGACTGGATTCAGATCTGGTGACTGGGGAGGCCACTGACCTTCACTGAACCTACTGTCACGCTCATGGAAACCAGTTTGAGACGAGGTTTGCTTTGTGACATGGAGCATCATCATGTTGAAGTAGCCATTACAGAGGAGTCTTTCTTTGACTGGCTTAATGTTGCCGTTAATGTCAACCATCTCCAATGCACCAAGTCCTCCGACCTTAACAACCAGATTTGTCGTTTTTTTCAACCGTCTGTAGTGTCTCCGGAAATACAGCCCCTACGGCGGTAGGCGTACAGGACCTCGGTTGTCATGGTTACCATAATTAACACGCGGCTGTACCAAGAGCAGGGTACAGATTGTCGCTGTGGTTACTAAAATAACAGTCATGGCTTGTTTAGGTTTAGGAATATATCGGGCTTTGGGTTAAAATAAGTCCCTTCGCAACATAAGACGATCTTTGTTGCCATAGTTTCAATAATAACAACGTGGTAAACTTCGTTGAACGCTCATGGATAATAGAAACAACATAAAGTGCTGGTTTCATATGGGAATCGTAGCTCCTGTCATAATTATTACGACCACTAGATGTCGCCTAGCAACAAAACCTAACTATGGGCCATAATAACATGCTGCACAAATGTCCTATGGGCTTGTTTTTCATTTGAGGACAGTCTCCTCCAGTGGTATCAGAAACTTGTAACAGAAACCAGACCAATCACAGTTCTTGGCCGTCCATATCGTATCTCTAAAAACTGTCTGGCCTCAACTTGAAATTAAATTCTTGTGGTATGTGTCAGCTACAGCAGAAACGTGGACAGGCTCCAAAGCTGCCCCATAACCTCTTAACACACAAGTATAAATCCTCCTTAAATGTGTCGGAATGATGAGTTATGCAGTGATGAAAAACAAGAAGTACTGTACTACTACTGCTGCGCTGTACTACTATGGGAAGCTACAGTATGTGAGTGATATATACAGTATATGGTGACAGACACTTTTGGCAGTGGCAGACATTTCTTTGTCTGTCTACTTTATTCTCAACACTTCAGCTCCACTACAGCTAAGCTCCAACCAGACTCAGAGCGATTGTAACAAGTCATTTGCCTTTTCAAATTTTAATTTAGATGAAATATAGATATACCCCCTAGTGAGACAGGATAAGTGTAGAAGGGTGCAAGTGTGTGTGTGTGTGTGTGTGTGTGTGTGTGTGTGTGTGTGTGTGTGTGTGTGTGTGTGTGTGTGTGTGTTAAAAAAAAATCCTCTAATACCACATCTGTCTGAGTAAAATACTTCTTTCACATTGTTCCCACAGAGAGAGAGACAGAGGAGGAGACGCGAGATAAGGTCGTCAGACACGAACTAGCATGTCTAAAACTTTTAACAGTTCAGCTCAGGACAACAAGTGTGTAAGTTTCTCTCTCTCTCTCTCTCTCTCTCTCACACACACACAAACATACAGACACACAAACACTCTCTGTCTCTTGCAGCGGTATCTGATGCTACGGCTCATTAGAAGAACTTCCTCAGATAAAGCCTCCGTAACTGATCTTTTATTCACAAAACCTGTCAGTGGTATGGAGATGTTAACACCAGAGCTACCAGCCAGAGACAAGACAGACTGAAATGCTTAATGAGTAATGACGATGTCAGGCCATGTCTCATTCACAAAGCCGGTGTTTAATGTTGCTTCGGATATTAGTAAAAGTAGACATCTTGGAGACCGTGACTCTAGACCTTTTGTGAAATCCTCTGGGCCACTCTTCAACTGAGCATTCACGCAATTCACCGAGCAGAACTTATTTTAATGAAACAAACTTTTAAATAAGCTTATTTTTACTATATATTTTTGGCAAAAATACACCAGTGTGGGAGGTTTTGTGAACAAATTCTAAAAGTTGATTTTTTATTCATTATTATAGATGTGAATCATGGATGAGTGCTGAATTTACAAGGGGAGCTGTACAATTCAGTGGTAGTCTTGCAGCAGCAACAGCATCAGACTTTGCATATGAAAATGCAGATGTCTGAGCCCAAATAACAAACTCGGGCTGCACTGCAACCGAGATGCTGCAGAATAACTCTACTAACGTGAATTAAATCTTGTGCTTTGCATACTCATATTTTAAACTTTCTTTTTTGCACTTAACGTTTATTTAAATATGCAAACGTAAAACATGAACATGTGCATGTGTCAAGGATCATACAGCATATGTAAGCATCACATACATCCATCCTATTTGAGATCTGTGAGTAGAGGCATCTCAGAGTCATAGGCACTCATATCTGCAACTTTTAAGATAATTTTACTGCTCCTTCCAAACACAACCTTTTTTCATAACACATTAAAGCACAAACATAAGTGTTCTGTGTGCAGTTTAATGACGCTACCTTAATGTATGACTTGAGATAGCAGCTTTCCAAAAACACAAAGCAATCTCTCCAGTATGTATTGTACATATATTAGGGCTGTGACTTTTATTGAAAACTCCTACTTTTGTTCAAACAGGAGAAAAAAAATATTTTGAACTGAATTCAAAATTCATTATATAAGCGTCAGTGGTTTTCCTTGTGCTCCAGCAGAGAGCTGAAATTCACTGTGTGCTTGACCTACTACATGCCATACTGACCCATCAGTAAACTAAGCCCATTAATAAAAATGGGAGGAGGACACTAAGCAAAGTTGTGCTGATGAGAGTGGATTTAGTGGATGGTGCCACTGAGGAATGACATTTATCACACTGGGATACATGACTTGTATCTTTACCTTGGAGTAATGGAGTCTATGTAGTAGTATTTTAAATTGTATAAGACCGTGTGTGATGATTGAGCATTTGTGTATTGTTCAAGACTTTCTTCTCATATGTCATCTGGCACTTGAATACCCACTGGGCTTAAACTTTCAGAAGATGGAGAGGTTAATGATAGTAGGGTGTCATATAGGTAGGAGATTTTCACATACAATCTCTCATTTGTAAATATCTGTAAAAGTTGGTATTCAGGGGATTACATTTCCTTTGTAGTCATGTGAAGGTGTCACATGTACCCCAAATTCATAGATCTTTAACAATATGAATTCCTGAGTCGCTCCACATGCAGACGGTTTTATTTAAATTGGATGAGGTGAAAGTAGCTTCTTTTGCAATGGGCAGTGAGAGATATAGGTTTAAGACCGAAATGGGATTTATTTTGTTTCCATATACGTGTTAGGTTAGCTATGATGTTTGTCTCCTTACGATGAAAAGTGTCTATTCTATATTATTGTTCACTGTGGAAACAAAAGTTTGTACTGGCCCGAAATTCCTGGGGATGATTTATTCTCTATATGCAATATAGAAAATATATTACATGATATCAAGTTGTGATGCTCTGATTAAGGCTTGTCTGACAAAACACATGAGCATAAGAATATAAAATGGTAAACTGACATCATTGAATTGAGATTTTTTTGTGTTGGGGTTACCTCAGTTCATAAGTTGTTGTTGGGAATTCATGGCCTTTCATGAAGAAAAGTAACCTCAAGGTTTTTTTTGGCACTGTAGTCAAAATATTTGTATGTATTTTCAGTTTTAGAGCTACAAATGTTTAAAGCTTGCTTGTGGAGGTTAAATCTACTTAGAATGGTAACAAATAAGTGACCAATTCTCGATCACATCTATGTTCATCCTTTGCCTGAAAACTAAATAGACCTTGTGGTGAGATAGTTTTGTCAACTGCTATTTCCAAGGTCACAAAACAACAAATACAGAATACACCTACTGATACACAAGGCCACCTTCAAATTCTAGATAAAGCTTGAATGGATGTTCTGTGTATAATACTGCCGTACTGATGCACCGCCTCACCTTGAGGAAGACCTGCAGCTCCTGGGACTGTGTCCGCTGCAGGATGTCTGGCTGCAGGTGTTTGAATATGGCCACACACATGTAAACCTGGTAGTCAGGACCCATCACCACACAGGTGGAGACGTAGTGGCAGATTTCTGTCCAATCCAGATAGTTCCAGAAACACTGAGTCACCCAGTGGAGGCACATCTGTGGACAGAAAGAGAAAATGTTATTGAGAATATACACACCTGTCAGCAGAGTACTAGGTCACATCTAATACATTTGAAAGAAGCGATGACCCCAGTTATAATCTGAATGGTCGATTTGATGCTTATGACAAATAATGAATCATGTTTCAGACGATCATTCTTCTCCTCCTATAATAAATCAAATCTGTCCTAATAACATTCCCTCCCCATCAATCTTCATGTTCTTGCTCTTCATTTTATTATTTTAATATATTATCATTAAAAATATAAGAAGACTAAAAAGTTACAAATAACTACGTTTAATAATTATGCTTAAGTTTACTGTATAGTGCTTGCATGAGCCACATAAGTACATCACTGTACACATCTGTATTCATCTGCACTTTCCCAGCAACACTATAGCACCAAGCACAACAGCAATGGCCGACTACATTGTCTCTTTACCAGTGTTGCTCCTGGCTTTGCGAACCCACACTGGCATCCAAACATTTTGATGTTGATTTTGAACATTTCCAAATTTTGGAAAATGGCAGTCACAAAGTTTTACTTGGTCTTGTTGGTCATGATAATCCCGCCCCCAGCCCCTGACATAAGCGGTTCTTGTTGCTAGACCAGAAAGTGTTGGTGCTACAGTTTTCCTGACTGAGAGCCAGTTCATTGGATTAATTAGGCAATGGCTCCGAAACCAGCCCTAAAACTGCCTTGGTGGAAAAGGGATGTGAGAGGTTTATGAAGACTGGTCCTGTGTGAGAAGGCACAGCTGGGGTTCCTGTGTTGAACCTATTGAAAAACACATTCAGTTCGTTGGCACTGTCATGGCTGCTAAACCTGCTTGACAGCCTTTGATGTTGAAGCCTGTAATCTGCTTCATGCCCATCCACATGTCCCTGATGTTGTCCTGCTGGAGTTAATTCTCTAGCCTCTGTCTGTATGGAGTCTTTGCACTCACTCATTCTCACTTTGAGATCACACTGTACCCTTTTCACTTAGTCCTTGTCACCAGACCTAAAAGCTCTCCTCTTTTTATTCAGCAGATCCTTCAGATCACTGGTGAACCAGGGCTTGTAACAGTGTTCAGTCCAGGTAGGGGCAGGACACTAGCACTGTACTCATCTTTAGCATTTGCATTCACAAAGTGTCCAGTGTTTTATTTTCCAATGTGCTGTAGTCAACAAACTGTTGGAAAGAAGAGAGTGTGACATTTACAGGTCCCATTTTGCAAGAATGTTTCACTTGGAGGTATAAAATAAAAGCCATTTGGGGCAGTCTTGAAAGTTTTAGGTACCGCTAGTGTTTTGGTTAACGATAACAGTCAACTAGTGTAGTGAGTGAGTGGGTGAGAGAGTAATGTCGGTCCATTTTAGCTAAATGTCACACTGTCTCATGAATGAGTCTCATCTTCCTAAATAAACTATTTGCTTTTGGATTTGATCATGCCGTTATTATGACAGTATTAGCCTTACTAATATTCTTAGTAGAAAGAAAATGGAACCATCAGGGGCTAACGTTAAGTTGGCATTTTGGTGAGGAGCTCAACTTATCTTGTAATTGTCAGCAAAATGAATACATGAGTAGTCCCAGAGCCCTAATGTCAGTAATGTTGTATAGGGGGGATTTGGAATAACAGGTACGCTAGCTAATGTTAGACTCCATGGAAATAACGTTAACACCTAACGTTACGTCCAAAGTGCGATGGCTAGTGTTCATTAAATCAAAACAACTCAACCCCATCAGGTTAATCAACAGTCCCAAGCTTGACATATTGTATTATAAGCCAATTAAGGTAATTATAATGCAACAGGAAGTGAATCTGTGGTCCAAAGTTTTTGCTGAAAGGTGACAATCTTGCACCCCTGATGTCTATATTCACTTTATATGCTGACTCTGCTTCATCAGATTTTCTGGAAACATGTTTACACAGAGTGAAAAATGAAATGATTACTCAGAGCAGTCTTGAATATTGGGGTGGGATTAGGGGACAAAGAGACGAGCAGATGCATCCTAATGTTTATATCTGCAGCTGATGACTGAGTTTAGATCTGTGATATTATTGCAGTGGATCAACGAGGGATTCCCACCTGTTCCCAGCGAAAAAGAGAAAAAAGGTCTTTTTAATCAACTAAAGAAGAAATTAAAATCAAGACAGCACTTAGAGCAGTTTAGGTCCTGTGACTGTTAACAATGTTGTTCTGCACTCTGTCAGAGATTTGTCCAACTGATCATAAACAGGTCAGCAGCCCCTCTGTAACCCAAAGTCTGTTAACCATTAACTACTGTAATTCCAGACATATTGAAGAGAGGGTATTACTGTAGAGAGGGTATTACTGAAGATAAGAATTACATGGGTGAATTTAGCCATTAAACATGTTGTTTAAATTGTGTTTAAGCATGAAGCTGTGACTGCTTGCTCACTACTTCCAATGATTTGATGTTGAAACTGCACCATCTGAGTTAACTTGAGTTATAGCACAACTGAAAAAATGGAGTGAGCAGGGCCAACAGTATAGCCAGACAATCACCGGGGTAACCTTTTGAATAATGCTACGGACAGCCTGTTTAATCAAAGCTAAGTGTGCAATACTAGAAACCAAACTAAGCAAACCGTGGTTTAAAAAAAAGAGCTTAATGCAAATGTCAGAATGCTAACAAGCTCACAGTTGCAATGCTAATATGCAGGTATAATGTTTACCATGTTCACAATCATAGTTTCAAGTGTTAGCATGCTAACATTTGCAATTTCAACAAGACGCAAACTACAGCTGAGGCTAATAGGAATGTCATTTTTTGCTGGTATTTTTCATAAGCGCTGGGCAAACTGAAAATTTGACCTGATGATGGCACAACATGAAAAGTCAGGGGATCACCAACATTATTATAATTCATCCTGAGGGGGACATGGATTTATGTACAAATTTCAAGGCAATCCATTGAATAGTTGTTAAGATATTTCAGTCTGTTGTCAACAAGACTGACTCCCTAAAGCGTCTAATAAAAGGACAGCATCCTAAAAATTGTACATTTTCTTTATTAATTGTGTCATGTTCAGAAGAATCTACTTTCTTTTTGGTAGAACTCTGTTTATGATTTGACTATAATCTGTAGCTTTGAATCTGCCGGAGCTTCACACCCTTTCCAAGCGTCCAGCAGACAACAAACAGTGCACACGCTCGGTTTTAACTAACTGTCATGCCAATAATTAGCCACTGTGTTCACTAACGACACAAGCCTGCTCAAGCATACAAACAACACCACTTACGCTCTATAAACATATTAAGATTATTTTCGCCCCGTCCTCAGCTAAACTATAATGAAAATACTGACATCCTAATTTGTGCGTTGTAATAAAAACAGGGAGCGGCTAGATCCATGCTGCCCTTTGTTTCTGAACCCTCAGGCAGAAAAACAAGAACACATCCTGTACTCCCTGTGACTGTAAATCCCTCCAAGGTCTCTCCAAGAGCAGCTCTTTTCTGAGAGTGGCAAAATATACTTTTCTGTTGCTTGTGTTCCTGTGAGCTAAAACTCAGGGGCCAAAGGTGAGTGTGACTGTATTCTCTCAGTATTCTTTACTTCATTTTCACTCTGCCATAAACAGGCTTTCAGAGCTATTACTAATCTGAGCAGGTCAGGTCACAGCGGCCAGCTCACCAAGACATCATCTTCTGCCTGTGTGTGTTACAGCACTGAATGTTCAGAGCTTTTTATGTACAGTCTGTGGCTCTGAGTGATAATCAGCTTTCTGTTTAATCTTATTGTTGTCATTTTATGATTTTTGTTTTGATTCCAAACAAATAGAAATTAAAAACTCTTAAGATTAGTTACTGAAATGTTTGTTTTGCATTTGAGTGTTTTGTTGGATGTTGAGCAAAACAGTAAAACACATTTCTGAACATCTGAAACTACATTTTTAATTGAATATACAGTCTTAAATGCATCTGACGTCATATTCATGTTTTGACCTTACCATATTCTCAAGCCTATTTTACACCATAACATATTAATAAGCTCCACTATGTTTTTACATTCACAATAGTTCAAATGACTATGTGTAATATCAAAGGTGTAACTCATAATGTTTTAGTTTGACAGCCAACAAAAAAAAATGTATTTATTAAAAATAGATATTCTCATCTTCCAGTTTATTGGTTAGTCTATTGATATAAAAATAATGTCAACTATTTTCATAATTGACTAACTGTTTAATTAATTTTTCAGGCAAAAAAAAATGCTGTTTTCAGCCTCTCAAGTATAAAGATTCCTGCTTTTTTTCTATTTTACATCATTAAAAATTGAATATTGTTGGATTTTGCACTGTTGTTCAGACAAAACGAGACATTTGAAGATGTCATCTTGAACTTTGAGTAACTGATGGAGATTTTCTCACTATTTTGTGACATTTTATACAATAAACAATTGATGGAAATGAAATAGCAGATTCATCAATAATGAATATATTTTTTCTCTCAGTGGGTGAACTTAAAGCTGAAATAACCATGATATAAAGTATAATTGATATTAAGGATATTAAGGACCTCCCATGATTCAGCTTATTTATTCCTTCATTAACAACGGTTCCTGCTCACACTTAAAAAAACAAATAGAGTTTAGAAAGTCTCTTCCTGTCACACACTCCTTTTCTCAAAACAGTCTTGACTGTTTCAGATGTTTAAACAATCCGATGATAGATTTTGACTCAGTCCTGCGTTCGCGCACACATTTCCACACAACCTCTACTGTAACAATGTCAAGTGGTGCACAATGCTTCATTTGCCACTGCAGCTTTGTCTGGCTTTCAAAGCTCAAACTTTTGGAATAGATATTTCCATTTCTGACTGAAGAACAGGTGCCCATTATCGCCTTGAAGAGGCAAGAGATGAGCTGAATGTTAACTTATTACTACACCCAGGAGACGGCAGGTTCAGATCTTTGATTTGCGAGTCTTATAAGCTTCCCTGATGCCGTACATTATGTGAGCCTCAACTGTCAAAATGCCGACACACAGAAGACAGGATCAAACATAAGAGGATTCAAGGTGAAAAACCTTTTCTCTGCCTCGTTGTTTGTGAGAGAGAAGAGTGTGTCAAAAGAATAAAGTGCTGAGGAGCGAAGATCTAACTTTTCCACTGCTCCGTTATGAAAAAAAGAAGAAAGATTTAATGTCAAAGCTGTATATTGGTATTTTAAAGTCCGCTGAAGTCAAAGCAGGATAAATAGGGAAGTCAAGCTCAGGTCAACCAAGACCTGGTGGCGATAAGGGTTTTTAATTATATATTGAAACAACAGTGACAAAACGTAATGCACTGCTGTCTGTCTTGGTGTTGTTGGTGACGCTGTGTTCAGTTCCCTTTAGTAGTCATGACTGTTCTGTGTAGATCTAACAGGCTCAGGAAATGGAAATTATACAAAGACACTGAAGTAAGAATTTGATTAAGTCTAGACAGAAACTACTGTCTTCAGACTTCATCAGTCTAACTTTATGAGAGTGTTTCCGTGAATTCACATTATTACTGCAGTTAATTCTATGTTGAATAATGCATTGGATTTAGCAGCACGATTCTTACAGCAAAGTTTAACTATTTTACTGAAACTAGTTTTGTAAGAAAAGTGTCACTAACTATGAGCTTTAAATACCAGCCCCAGAGAGCATCCCTCATCACTTAGCTGTAAGTGAACTGATACCTGTGATGGGGTGAATCCAGACATCCTGAAAGCAGAGTGGACCAGTGGGACCTCAGCTTTCAGCAGCATTTCCACATAGTGAGCTGTACACCAGTAGACAGGCTGGATCCCTGATTCAGCTGCTGCCACAAGAACATGGACCTGTCACGACAAACACACAAACACAACAGATTTATCTCTCTTGATCTTGGAATCCTTTTGGATTTAATGTAGAGCTGTAATTCTTTAAATAATATTTGATATTACTTGCACCGGTGGTGGATTTTTAAACACAAAAATGATAGAAATGGCACTTAAAGGCTCTGTGTCTTGTGTTCAGTGCTGATACTGTGTTGAATACTTGACACAACCTTCATTCTGAATTGAAAGAGCAGACAGATTTGTGTGTGTGTGTGTGTGTGTCAACAATACACACATTCTCTCCAAAACTTTGCCTCTGCCTCTTAATTATTTGTGCCTTTTCTGTTTTCTGTGATATTGACTAAATCATATCGTGTAGTTGGAGGCTAACTACTGACTGGAGAAATTCACCAGCTGCACATTCAGTCGAGTCCAATTGAGCCATAATTGACTTAGGCGGGAAACGACAAAATGACAGAGGTGGGTATAATGATAGCAAAACTTAATCTCCGCACCTCAGTGCTCCCCTGCAATTCACAACGATTGAAGCTAGACTTCATTGTAGCCTTCTTCCCCTCAGTTGAACTCTTCCTTTTACTCTTATTTCTCCTGTCATTTATCTCTTTCAGTCATCTTCCTCCTTCTCCTCTTATTTTCTAAGATCAGTAAACATCTTGTTTGGTTTTCACCGTGTTGAAAAGTGAATACAGAGGCAAACTGAAAGTCATTATGTGAAAAATGTTGTTAGGATTCATCATGTTTTCTTTGCTGTACCATTGCTTTGATAGTTGAAATGCTGTTGGGAATAAATAAGAACAAGGCAGACAGGCAGAAACAGAAGTCAAAGTTGCTAACATTTGAAGGTGCATTGCACATGTGTACACGGACGTGAGATGAGACATGTTCAATCTGAAGGTGAAGTTTTGCTTGACATAAAGGCGGACATGAGTGGAAGCCCTTAACACATTGTACTATATACTGTACACACTCCAAAGGAAAAACCAAACCATGCGAAAAGTGAGCAGTGACAGGTTTGACTGCAAACATACGAAGGGTCTTAACTGATACTCACATGCACCTCAAACAACTGCATCAAAAAAAGCTCTTTTATGCCTTGACATGTAAAGTGTGCATCAATCAAGCTGCCTGGTTGATCCAAATGTCTGTCGGGTTATTTATACAACATTTACTATTGGGGCTACAAGTAAGAAATTACTTTCATTATCAATTAATCTGCCAATTCATTAATTTTTTTAACAAATCAATTACTCATTTAATTAATCACAATATCAAAAATAATTTAAAAAAAAACTGCATATGGCAATTTCCCGAAACCTAAATTGACTTATTCGCTTGATTATGCTTGTTTCATCTCTTCAACACCCCACAACCCAAATACTCAAATATTCATTCATATATTTAATTTACTATCATAGAAGATGGAAAAAATCAAGCAAATCTTCACATTTATCAACTGGAAACAGTGGATTTTTGGCATGATTGAAAAAGATTAACTGATTATCAAAATAGTTGCTGATTGATGAATTTTCTGTTAATCAACTAATGTTTTTTAGCTCTGTTTTCAATTGAATATTTAGATTTCAATCACAAAATTTCTCTTGATTCTCCTGAAAATAGTGAATTCAGCATCCAAACTGAACTGAACCAAAAAAAGATGAAAGATCTTCTTTGTATGAGATTGCCATTATACTCACGGATGCATGTATCCCTGCAGGCCAGATGAATGCAGAGGCAAGCAGAGAGGAGAGGCTGAGTAACAAACGTAGAGATCGGTCCATGTCTCCAGACATGATGAGGAAAACTGTGGAGGCCAGCCAGTCATGGCCCGGATAACCATCCTGCTGAGTGACTGGTGGGCAGAGTTAAAGAGCCAAACGACTGGTGGAAGAGATCAATGTTTCAGACTCATAGCAATGTTAAATAAACATAGCTCCTAAATGAAAGTGGTTCACCGGCAATAAATGGAACAGATACACATGGACTGTAAACCCCTTCAATGTTCACACCTTCAAATGAGCCTAGTTTAACACAAATTAAAATAGTAAGAGCTTTAATCAAGAGAAAGCTCTACCTTAAACATAAAAAAGTATCTGAATTAAGTAACAGCCTATGCATTTTATTACTACTTAATGATCTGCAGAGTTGTACTGTATATTAATGTGGCATAAAACAAATCAGACTAACGTGATTTAACAGATAATTTCTGGCAACAGCAGGTGGTTTTGAATTAGTTATATAAACACAATTAGTTATATAAATATTGTATTTCAAAGCTGAAAAACACTGATTGTGCCTTTCAATAATTTGTAAAGATCCTCTTTAAGTGTTGGAGGAAACTTGAGTCCATATGTTCTCTGTCAACTGATACTGATGCCAGTGTGTGTCAGCCACACAGTGAGTAATGCTTTGACAGTCAATTAACCCCAACACACCAGACCTTTATTTCATCGCTGAAAAACAGCCTCCAAGCTCCAGTTCTCTGTCTCAGTGTGAAAGAAAACAAATTAAGCCAACATGGTCTTTCAGGTGGCAGCTCTGCATTGTGAGCATCACATTACACCAGCAATGAAGAGAATTTAAAAAAAAAACAAAAAAAAAAAAAAAACATACAAAAACACCAGGGTCACAACACAGAAAGCTTCCAAGGTTTCTATCTTAAAGCTTTCTCTCGTCAAGTGCATCTTCTTTGAGACGCTGGAGCATTTACTCCTTGAAGTTCAGTTTCATTGAGACATGTTATTTCATCCAGACCATGCTGGAACAAAATAACTGCACTGATATGCAGGTCTCAGTCCTGGTTCAGGAGAACTATGGAGCGGTTAATTGGGAGTGAGAACACAATCTGTCTCGACTATAGAAAACATCTCCAGGGTAATGACACGTCCTGCTTTTATGTGTTTCTGCTGAGTTGCCACCTTTAAAAATGGTGCACCTTTAACGTTTGTTTAGGAAGAATGCACACAGACACATTTAATTCGCAATTTGCCCTTGAATATAACACAACAGCATAAAGAATATGCTTAACAAACTCAGGCTTATTCAGTCTATCACATTCTTGCCACTGAGAAATCAGAGGAAGATGTTTTCGCACGAGAAGTTTTATATCAAATGAGTTTCTTAATTACTATAATGTCTTAATAACTACTTTCCACCAAAATTCCAACAATTTTCTTTTAAATCAAGGGAGACAAAAGTTGAGAGGTTCAATAAGGTGGAACCTATTTTATGTTTAACTGCTCTCAGGTATTTGCTGTTGAATGCTACAGCCCTTTGTGGTGTATATTAAGTATTTTGAACAGCGAGAAAAGGTAGTTAGACCAATGCAATTTTTAAAAAAAAAGAAAAAAAAAAGGCATTTTTGTTATTAGGATTTAAATTAGTTTATTTAATATATTGTTAAAATAACAACTACTTAACTAATTTCATATGCAGCTTTTAAGCCAACATGGATAAAGAAAGTCCTAAATTGTTCATTCAAATTTGAGAGAACCAAGATGAGCAAATGAGTAAACTCCATTCACTAAGGAAAACATTTGGGTGCAGTTGAAAGCCTTAGAAAAAACTAATTAGTGGTCTTTGACTTAAGACACAAAGTCAGAGGTATCCAAAGAAGGTTTTATCCAACTAATGACTATTTACAGAAGCTTATACTTTTAAGCACATGTATCACTCCGTTTCACAGGTGTTCTGTTAGCTGTTAATTAGTGTCACATTATTGGTCGTTTTCTAGCTTAGATTCTCACAAACTTTGCAAAGATGAAAATATTTCCAGAAGTAACATCTGAATTAAATGATGTCTGGTCGTCAGAAGAGAATGAAGGGAAGAAGCCTGGATACTTGAGCGCACACCTGAGGTAACGTGTAGATAAAGTAGGAGGCTAGTGTGCACTGTGCAGGTCAGGAAAGTCTTGTTGTTGTGGAACTATTTGTGTTAGTGTAGCCAAATAATTATAAAATAAACAAATAAATCATAATCTGGTGTTGCATATTTAACTAATATGGCGCTCATAGAACTGTTGTATAAAAGCAATATCACACTCAGGGTCGTGATGTTGTACTGAATATCAGCACGGCTGTGATTCGGTCATCGGTACGACGCCGCAGGCCGAGTACCGAAGACCGAACAATTGCTTTAATGCCTTCTGTGAACTCACTTTTTTACTATTTGCCATGTACAAAACAACTGTGGAGTAAATTGTCACTACTTATTGCTGATCATATAGTCAGTTTCACCTGATTTATTTCTTATTTTGACCACATTTTATACTCATGAATCAAAATAACTGACAGTTACTGCAGTGATTGCAGTTAAAAGCTCTGGGGAAAAAGGTAGTACATGTATCTTAAGTAAAGATTTTTTGTACAGTATGGATACAGAAATGTAATCAAAATGCAACAGTATGAGCTGCTGGCTCATTTCTCAGTAACAAATCCATCCAGTGAAACATCACTACATGCTCTTTGAAACTGATTGACAGACAAGCCTCATCCATTTGTAATACACTCTGTCAAGACATCACTTTGAATGATAAAGAATTATAAATAAAGTAGAGCCTCATGAGGATGAGAGCATTTTCATCTTCCGTCACTCAATAACATGAATGAAACTGGAAAAGCTCACTTTAAAAATACTGCCATAATTTTTTTTTTTTTTCAAAAATCCTCCCTCTAAAATCAGAACTTTTTTTGATTTCTTTACTTTAACTGAACCACTCAGTTATCTGTATAAGGATGTCTCCATTCCACTGGAATCAGATTTATTCATTTAAAACTACATAGACTTCATTGAAAGGTTCTTTCAAAAAGTATATTAAAATGTTATTTTTATGAATATATTGTATACTGTGCACTACCGTTTACACCAGACTCATTTCAGTTGCAGAAACGTAGCGAACATATCTAATCACCCAGCATAAAAGAGCTTCACAACCAACTTCCTCATATCAGCTCAAATGTCAATGTGGTCACTCTGTATTATTGCTCCTTTACAAGGAAAATGTCAGTGTGTTTTATATTTGTGTGAGGACGTGTTATCTCTACTCATTGTTTTTATGTTCAATTGTCCACATACAAAAGGAAACTTTCTAAAGAAGACAGGAGGCTATCAGTTGCTATTTGGGACAAAAGACGTCTGAACTGTTCAGTTAGACACAAATGGAGTAAGATCATCTGTGCTACGGTTAGGGTTAGCTGCTTATCACACAGAGATGGACACTGTCTGTCGCTCCTCGTCTCTCTCACAGTGAGAGAAATTGCTCCTCTATGCTCTCTGGAGTGGACTAACAGTAGAAAATGGAGACAGACAAAATTATACTATATATATACATATATAAGTAAAGATAAAAATAGGTATGTAAATGCATTATTGTGGGGGGTAAAGCCTGCATAGCTTTCTTTGTATAAAGTGTAAAAAGCATGACTTTCCCTTCCATCAACCCTTTTCTTTAAGTTATATTTAGTTTGGATTGCTCACCTCATTGCTCTGTTCTACAAAAAAAGAGAGAAAATGAAAGTTAACATCACACATTTCTAAGTACTCCTAGTGTTACACGCTAACTTTGAGTGTCACTTATGAGAATTATTTACAATTTGTTATAAGATTCAAGAAACGTTATGATACGTGGGCACCCTGCTGTGCACAGCGGGGTATCAACATAATGGAGGAGAATCTGACAATGAAGTGTAATAAAACATCATTTTTACTGTCATGTAACTCTTTAATCTGTAATTCTAGAAATAAATATGTACATACTGTACATGCACTTTTGTGTTGGAAAAAGAGGTGTAGTACACTGGTAAAAATATAATTTCTTCTGGTTGTCATCTAATTTTGAAAGGCTCATTTTAAAAAGGACTAAAGTGACATATTTTCCAACTTGTTTCAGACGTTTTGGGTTCCAGGATCGGGAAAATAAAACATTGTTAAATTCATTTTGAGGTTATGGTGGGACCCCTACCATAAACTATATGATACAAATCCCACACTTATGTACATAGACAACCAGTGTCGACCAAGAAAATGTATAGAATACCAAAGAGGTGAATATCTTCTACAACTACAGTATTTCTACCTGCTGCACAGATGTGGTCTCTGGAAAGGATACTGAGCTCTGAAGAAGTTTGAACTCTCTGTGAGGACAAGAAGATCTTTATGTGCTTCATTAGCAGCGTCAAGTCTTGCACAGCGTTGTCTTTGAGTAGCTTGAGGTAGCTGCCGTACCTGTGGATATAAGACAAAACAAATGTAAAGGAGATCTCACTTTTTCACTTGCATCATGGGTTTGTTTGCCAAATCCATGAGTTCTAGTTAATCTGCTGTGAGACTACTCTACTGCTGTTCAGTATCAAAATCAGGTATGCTCTATCTCACTGTATCTGAAAAATGAAATGAAATAAAGCTTTATCACTGTGAAACTTTTTTTTTTTTTTAAAGCCGCTATTTTTCTGGCAACTCCCGTAATCCCCGTCTTATATTTCACTGAAAGGAAATATAAGACTCACAGAGCACTTTATTAGGAACACCTGTACACCTTATTCATGCAGTTATTCAATCAGCCAGTCATATTTTAGCAGTGTAGTACATAAAAACATGCAGATGCAGGTCAGGAGTTTCAACTAATGTTTACACCAAATAAAATGGGGAAAAATATGAGCTTTGACTTTGACTGTGGCATGATTGTTGGTGTCAGAAGGGCGGGTCTGAGTATTTCTGAATATGATTTCCCAGGATTTTCACACACACACACACACACACATACATGCATAACAGTCTCTAGACTTTACTCAGAATGGTGTGAAACCATTGTAGCCCATCCAACCTTGAGGTGGCTGGGCTACAACAGTAGAAGACCATGTCAGGTTCCACTCCTGTCAGCCAAGAACATAAATGGTAGGCTGCAGTGGGCACATTCTCACCAAAAGTAGACATTTGAGGACTGGAAAAACATAGTCTGGTCAGATGAGTCTCGACTGAGGCAGCAGATGGTCGGGTCTTGGTACACTCTGGGCCCCTTAATACCAATCATGCGGACTATGTGCATTGTTTATGGCCACAATTTAGCATATTCCAAAAAAGTAAAAGTCATCTCAAACTGGTTTCATGAACATGCCAATGAGTCACCAGATCTGAATCCAGTGGAACACCTTTGGGACGTGGTAGAACAGGAGATTGGCAGCATAAATGTGCAGCTGACAAATCTGCAGAAACTATGTGATGCAGTCATGTCAACATGGAGCAGAATGTCAGAGGAAAGTTTCCAACATCCTGTGGAATCAATGGAGGGAAAGAACTGAGGCTGTTATGAGAACAAATGGAGGCTCTACCCAGTGTTAGTGTTGGTGTTCCTATTAAAGTGCTTGGTGAGAGTATATTACTGGACTGGGAGAGAAAGAAATACTGAGGCTCATGCAATACCCAAAAGGACTCATCAAAACTATATTCAACAAGTTCCACATAGCTACATTTGACTCAGCAAGTCTGACACTTGTAAAGACAAGGATTAGGAATATATTCATTTCCAACAACTTTTAATCCTAAAACATGGTGCTCTGTGTGTAACGCACACACACTGTGTTCTGTTGATGTCAAAAATGCAAACATGACACACTGTCTTTCAGAACATGCTCTGAAGCTTTTCAGCTGCAAAGCTCCCTCAAGGGAAGGTGTTGAGGAAAGACTTACATCCACTATGTAATGTAGCAGCGGGGTGTCGTTAGAGACGGGAACGAGCAGTGTGAGAATAGTAACACACGTCAGAGGCCCTACTCATGGAAAAATAAAGAACAGACCGGGTATTATACACACTCACTTCATTGAGATTAAAACAGAACAGCGGGAGAACACTTCCAAACCTTTGGCAGGTGTGGGGGTTCAATAGTAGGAGCAGAGGGGAACATTGTGGCAGCATGTTTCTGACGCCTTTAACATCTATAGTCAAAGTGGCCTTAAATATAAAAAAAAAATGGTGTGGACAGACCACCTCACCTGGGTTCTCAGATCCTCTGAAGGACACAACCCACAAAGATGTGTCCTTCAGAGGATCCAGCTGCTGAATTGAGAAACAGTTAACATCTCTTTTTGTTGATGCTGTATTTTAATTTCTGGAAGAAGGGTTTTCTGTTTCTTCAGGGATCGCCTTCTCCCTTTACATCTGTTGTGCACATTTGTGCTCAAGGAAAAATCCTTTTTCTCTGTAATTCTAAGGAACAGAAACCAATACCCGGGGCCATGTGAATGAATAATGTACACTGTAAACACAAGAAACGTGCATACACCCCATTCCACAAAAAAATGTATTTATCAAGGAACTAGGAACATACATACCGTGTTTTTACAGCGCTCATTGTGATATGAAATTGGAAAAATAAGTTGGGAGCCCGAAGCTAATACACTGTGTTGGGAAGTAGCAGCACTATATGATGAGGCTCACAGGTGAGCGCTGACAGTCTAATTGCTGGCTGTAAATTCAATGAGCTGATGGGGAAGTGGAGTGGTGTTTTGGGCAAGTTATTAGAGCAAATATGTGTGGCATAAAGATTATGCTACAGAAACAAGCTCTTTGTGTGCGTGTGTGCGTGCGTGCATGCACACACACCCGTGAGCACACACACACAAGTAGACAAATGTGCATTTTGGTTGTGTGACGATAAATATCCCTAAAACAAAAGCCATGACCTTGTTCCCATCAGCAGCAGCTGACTGTGTGTTTAGTGCTAATAAGCAAATGTTAGCATGATAACACACTAAATTGAGATGGTGGGCACTGTAAACATACCTGCTAAAGATCAACTTGTCATTGTCATTGTGAGCATGTTAGCATTCTGACATCCACATTTAGCTTGAAGTGCATGCCAGCTACAGACTAGTGGAGGACACAGAGGTATTCATATGCAAAACACTCAGTGAGGCTGCGTCTCCACTGATCAATGTCTAATTATGAAGTAGAAATCAGTGTGTACAATTCCACAATGGGCAAGGTTCATGAATCTGAACCATAAATATGAGGAGCAATATAAGTCTGACAAAGTGTTGTTGATGTATATTCCTGCTTCCTGCATACACAGTTTATAATCTGACCCCTGTATTTTTACCATTCATTTTTTCGTGTATCAAACTGTACCTCCTCTGGCAGTACGTCACATCTTCAATGTAGTGAGAAAAATACATCACCAAACAACTAAATGGATCCAGAGATGCCAGATACATCAACAGTAGCAGTTATACTGCAGTAACTTAAATGAAGCTCGCTGCTCAGTTTAAGAGTTTGTGCACAGCAGGCTCACCATCCCAGGCTGCTGCTCTTTTATTAAATAAGGGCTGATGAGCTATAGAAAAACACTTTACATACCTGAGACAGATGTTGATTCCCAGCTGTTCCACGGGTGATAATACAGTACTCTTCACACTCTTCTCTTCTGCTGTAAAACAAGGAGATTAAACATGAGAGGTGGCTCATGGTGGCTATTTTGGAAGCGACGCATTACCCATGGAGGGAATGGCAAATGTTTTGTTTTTTTTTTTTATTTATAAATGTTCCTCAGACATCACTAACAGGCTGCATTACAACAGCGGAGAACAGTGGCAACATATCTTGACTTACTACTTCTGAAGGCACTACAGATGTGATGTTGTGCCAGCTAATTTTGTAGTTGGCAGTTTTACAGCAGTCGTTTGGGCATTTAATTGTGATGTTTGCAAGGTGCTGTGGTATCAAGGTGACTTGGGTAATTTCAGTAAGAAGTCAACCCTGAGTCGTTTCAGCATGTTGATGCTTTAGAGCAGCAGAGTCACAACTCATGATTTTAGGAGTGTGATTGAATTTTGGAAAAAATACAGAATGGAATTTTGAGGCCTGTGAGAAAGCTCTTTATCTCAGTACTCAATCTGTGGAGTTGGATGCTACAGTGAGAGGCTACAGCAGCTGAAAATACTGGAGCAAGACAGCTTTAAATCCACATGCCGAAGCTTTCTACAGAATGTTGAACCATCACTCCCCAGCTGTTCTCATGGGCTCTTACTTAGCACCATTAAGTCTGCAGAATCATAAAAATATATTAGTTTTTGGAGTTACAGTTTGTAATTGTGTGGAGAGAACGACGAATGAAGCAATAACTGCAGGAGGAGTGATATTTTGTTTTGGGAGATGTTTCCACTGCTTCCTGACTTTGGGGAAACAGAATATTATTACATTTGTGCTAATGGATCCCCTGCTTCAGACAGTTTGTGGTAAGATGATGAGCAGAAGTTTTATCCAGACAGCATCAGTGGCGGGGAAAACTTCAAATCCAATTTACAAGCTAATGGTGCAGAAATATTGAAAGGAGATGATAATATGGCGGCTGTGATGTACATATTGATGTGATAATTCAAAATTTTTACTATTGAAAAATCAGAGCTGGACAATGTAGATTAATAACAGGGCATCAAATCCTGTATTAATTGAGAGAAAATAGCTTTTGATGAGGGCATGAAGCAGTGCCAGGACAACTAGTTCTGTATTTCCTCTCTCACCCTTCCCTTCTCACATATTAACATCTCTAAAAACCTCTTGCTGATGGCAATTACTGTCTAATGAAGATGAATGCTCTCTTGTTATATTTATTCCCTCCCTCCCCGCTCCTCTCTCCTCCTTTCTCTCCAGCTTTGTGCCACCAGAGTCTATTTTACAGTTTGTAATAACTATAATCACAACCATTTAACTTTTGTTAAAAAGAGCCACAGTTGAAAGATGGCACATGCAATGCATCTCTGACATTAGTTATGAAAATCTGTTCTTAATTACCAAGCACAGCGACGGTGAAAGTTATGAAGAGTAATATCAGGAATCTGTATCTCTCAGTTGATTCAGTTTCCAGAATCATTACAGTCCTCTGTGCTTTAGATAAATCAAAACAAAGCCTTCAAAATAAAAGAAGCCTGCAGAATTAAAGGCTTAGGAGAGGGACTTGCTGTGATGAGACACATTAAGAGAAAATCCTTTAAGATGAGCACACAATATCTACAAGGAGCCTGTGCACAGTCTAGGCGTGTGAGCACATCCACAATGTGTGCAGCCTTAAACATATATGTGAAACGGAAATTGAATTTTCTTTTACAATAAATACAAAGTGACCCAGCTGAAAGCTCCAGAACAGTGGATTTTTGAGTTGAGATAGTTGCTGTTTCCAAGGTCAAGAATAATTTAATTTCTAACTTCATTTATGCTGCACTGTACAGCATGTTGAGCTTTAAGACATTCAACTAGAGAACAGCGATGTAGCTTTACTTAGAATAGCTGTGTCCTTGAATAAAGATTCATGGTCGACTAATGCAAAAATAAATAAATAAATAAATAGATAAATAAATAAAACATTGCACAGGTTACAGTCTACAACAGCAAAAAACTAAACTAGACTAGGGCCACAGTAGAAATAGCAGGAACAAAGACTTCAAGACTTGACTGTGAGTATGGGGGCCTCTCAGGGGACATGGACTGAGCCCCTTTTATTACCATCTTTATCTATACCTGTGCCTGTTCATCAATCAAAGAGTTTGTCAACAATACCACCATACAGGGTTTGATGATCAACAACAATCAGATGGCCCACAGGAAGGAGGTTGAGGGCCCCAGAGCTCTGATAAAAGCCATGCACCCAACATCAACAAGAACACGGAGCCCTCTGTGGACCTCAGCTCCCGAGTGTCGACATCTCAGAGGACAGTAACACTTCCTCTGTGCTAAATAAGACACAGAACATCTCTACGACTTGAAGAAGATCCACTTCTCCCCTCAGCTCTTGTTCAGCTTCTACCATAGTATGACAAAGATCCTCCTTACAAACTTCATTACAGTGTGGTATGGCCACAGTTCAGCTGCAGACCAGAAAGCAGACATCTACACACCATTTCCCAACTCAACTCATGTCACTTTTTGCCTCCCTTTCTCTCCCCTCTGCTCTTTCTTTAGGTATCATGGTCTAAAGCATTTCAACTACGAAGTGACAGAGCTGCTGGTATTATTTCTTTTCTTTCTTTTTTTTTTTTTTTTTAAACTAAAATATTTTGTGTACTTGTCACTTTTTCTCTATTTTTATCAAGTTGCACGGTCTAGGAATGACGAGACAGTGCAACCTGACATAAATGTGTAACATGAGTAAAGCTGAAATGTTTTTCTCCCTGTGTTTTTCAGGTATTTTCGTCATATGTCTAAAACACTGAAAAAGAGGCTCTTTAACCAAAGGTAGGATGTGGTGAAACAATCCATTTAAATTAGAAAGTGTAGATCACCATATGGGCCATTAAGATGTTCTATAAAAAGTGCTCTCTCTTTGTTTCCAGTCAGGCAGGTGAATTAAATGAGATTGCTGGACACCTGGCTTCAGGAGACAGGGCCATGAAGGGTGAGCAGATACAACTCAGAACACTGAACTGACAGAGGTTAATACTTGGCAAATGAGTCTGCTCTCTCCATACAATGGGAGTGCTCAAGTAGGGCAGAGTGGCTGAGACTGTAGTCAACGTCAATCAAACACACAGAGGTGCCCACCACCCGCTCCCCCCGCCGCATGCGAAGACACACACCCACATACACACACAGCTGTGTGTGTGTGTGTGTTTGTGTTTGTGTGTGGGTGTGTCTGAGAGAGAGAGAGAGAGAGAGAATATGAAATAGAAAGGTCACCAGAGAACTTTTATCTTAAAGCAATGAAGAGATGTAGAGACTAATGCGGCAATTTCATGACAGATTCTTGTTGATGGGTTGGATTTGATACAACAGCCTCTAAGACACTGAGCTGAGGACTTTATAAACATGTATGACTAAAAGAAATTACTTAAATGAGACTACGCATTGCATTGTTTGATGTCAAATTATGTCGTCCGTTCCTTCCTACTTTTGCTGTTTTGTTTGACTTCAGTTCTCATTTTGTGTAATTGTACAAATTCATTTTAAGTTTACTTTATACCTTCTAGATTTGTGTCTACAACAAATCATTTACATCCACCCTATATCTCCTGTACCCTGCTTCCCCTGAATTACTAATATAATTTGACTGAATGAATTTTATGTATCATTTTTGCCTAATAGTGGCAACAACCTTGTGTCTGGGAGGACTATTTCTCATAACTGTTCTGTATTAATGAAATTATGTAAATAAGTTTGGCTGATTTCTAAAAATGTTGAGTGAATGAGTATTAAAAAAAATGAAGTCATAAAGTAAAAAAAAAAAAAAAATCAACAACTTTGATGTGTTAGTGAACTCAGATGAATAAATCATTAAAACAAACACTGAGAATTAAGATTCTTCATCAGCGTGCCCCCAGAGAAGGAGACATGCCTCTGTACTGATAGACTAACAGAGACAGCTCTGATAAAAGACATTCAATACACTGCGGGGAAATATCTCAGTCTTCAGTGGAAGAAAAAGCTAACTGATGAGTCTCTCTCCTTATTGAAAAATGCATAATAAATAAAAGCAGGCTAAACACATTCCACATATGTTTTTTAATTACTATTATTCATTATTTACGCCGCATTTTCAGAAACTCTACAGAGAGAGGCTGCCTTTTATTAGCTGTCTTCTTTCCACAAATGACCGTCTACTAATTCATAACATCTGAATTCTGAATTCTTTGACTCTCATATATTTTGTTCCTCCTCAGTAGCTCAGGGACATTTGTCTGAATACATGAACATGTACAAAGCCAATCAAATTCTGCACGGTATTTCAGAAATTTGCATTACTCAGGCCTTTATTCCTACAATAAATGGCTAATACACCATGACCATGGAAAATGCTCTTTTTGATGAAGTTGGCAGGTAGCAGACAGACAGGATATTAACCCACAAAAAAAAAACATTGCAAAAACACTCCATGCCTTGTGTGACCCAGCAGCTAACTCCTACTGGAATATATATATGGATATACATCGTGAGATAGTATAGCTTCTTGAAAGAAACGGATGGGAAATAACTACACATGGCATGTCTCATCTGGCAAATTAGGAACTTAATAAATGAAGGTACTTCCTCACATTGATGCAAAAATAATTTTGAAATTCAATATTGCCATAAATGAGTCCTGCTGCAACATTATCCACTAACAAACACTACCAGAAACACCACTGTTTCTAACAATGTAGAAAAAAATCACTGAGAGCTGACAGGTTCATATTGTTTCACGATGTACCACATATCTGGAACAAACTTCCACAAAACTTGTTGTTGTATGCTCCAACTCACAGTTCTTCTAAATTCAGGCTTAAAGCTTTTCTGTTTGCCATTTCCTTTTTCCAGATTCAGTCTGGAGCTATTCATTCACATCTTGCACTGCCTCGAAACTTTATTCTCTTCTTTATTGCGTTTAATTTATTTAGCTTGTTTATCTTCCTCTTAAATCCTATACACCTGATTGCCTTTTACAATGTGTCCTCATCTCTTTTTTATGTCTTCTCTAAAGCACTTTAAGTAAATGACAAATAAACTTGCCTTGCCTATGTTGTCAAATATCCTAACCGTAGCTCCAACTAGTGAAACAAATGTGTCCATTGTACGAACGGCACAAAGTAAATAAAGTTCTGCAACGTCTTGTCAGGTCAACTCACTATCATCAGCATATGTAAAATCAAAAGACCAAGGACAAACACTTTGAAAAAGAAAACTTGTGCAAGTAGGTGAGTCCAAAGCTTTCAGAGTGAATTTACTGAAGTGATTACATCAATTAAAGCCTAGATCGCTGTGTGTGTATGTGTGTGCATGCGTGCGTGCCTGCGTGCGTTCGTGCGTCTGTGCATTCGTGCATGCGTGCGTGCGTGCGTGCGTGCGTGCGTGCGTGCGTGCGTGCGTAGAGAAAAGGATGGACAACAAGGAGAAAAAAACTTTTTAGAAATAGTTGATAAATCTCTTCAATTAGTGGAGGGATATAAAACAATTTCAAAGATATTAAAACATCTTTGAATACCACTGAAGACTATAATCTGATGAGGAATAAATGAATCATCTTTTGCACAGTATCAGCATCAATTTATCACTCTAAGATTGACAATGATGCATTAATCTGCTCAGACGAGATGCCATGAAAGCAACAGCTTTAAACTTTTAATACAACTCTTCAACTACTTGGTGCTCAGAACACTATGAGTTTTACAAGCTTGGCAGGAAACTGGTCACATTTTTGATAGCGTGCAAGGCGAAGTGACAATCACAAGCACAGATGACACTGGACGGCTGATTTTTTATCCACCTGTCACTCCGAGTCATGGCTTCCAGCTTATCCTTTTATTTAATCCCTTTTTAATATGCATAGAACCACAAAGTCAAAGCTACAGAATCTTCTACAGAGCAGAGGTGCAGTTTGTAACTAATGTGCTGTTATAGTTAATGTTATTTCAGTATTTCACACCCACTTCTTTCTTATAATAGTTTCAGTGGGTCATATTTAGCTAAGCGCTAAAAGATTAGATTTAATGTAAAACAGTGATTATAGTAAAACAAACTAATCTGTGATTAATGGACAATATGTGCTCTTCTCAGACACCAACGCTTTACTTTAGTGTAATCTACCAGACTGACATGGTCCAAATCTAATCAAATCGAATGGGGTTTTTTTTTTGTTGCATTTTGACATGGCTGATATTTGATTATATTTTTCAGCTTTGGTAAAAATGTAAAAATATTTATTTACATCCAACATGAAAAATGACTTTTCATTTTAATAAAACACAAACTGTTCAAAAGGTTTTGTATTGTCATTATAAAGGAAACAAGCTCTCATCATAGGCAATGCATTTGCATAAAAATCAATTAAACTGCAAAAGCGAGACAAATTTAATGTGTTTGAGTGGCATGGTAATTGCTTGAATGTCTTTACTGGAGACCTGGTAACAATACTTACAGTTATACTAAGAGTTGTTGGCTCAGTCTGAGCAGGTAAGAGCCGGATTATTCTTTATAATGAAATTGCACTCTACCACTTGATCTTCATGGACACGCAGCTCACCTCACCTACTATTTTGTTCATTATTAAGTTCACGTAAAGTGTAGTTGTTGTTGCTGTTCACCTCTTGGCTTTTTGCTCTACATAAATACATCAAAATTGCACTTGACTCTCTCCCTGTGTGATCCCTGCATTGGGGTTCATCGCTTCCACTGCTTTAAAGCAGTGACAGTCTCATCATTATAATAATGTTACTAATCAGCACCAGATGATTGCTCAGACACCAAAACATTATTTGAGCAGTCATACAGTACCATTGATTCAATTCAAGTGTTGTTTTTTCATTATTTTCACTGATGAGTTGATTTAATACATACAGTACTGAAGCAACTCAATCAGCACTGAGGCCCTGATTATTTAAGCTAATATGGAAAATATAATTTAAATCTGATTGAACATAAAGAAGTAATTACATTTACTCAGTGCTCTCTTACTGAGGGGGTTTGCTGATGCACTGGCAGAACACTACTTTTTGTTGTTAGTGCAACTTGTGAAGAGTTTTCCAGGTGAAGGGCGTGATGACACCATGATAGGGTTTAAGTGCATTTTTGTAAAAAAAATATGTAAATTATTAGCACTTCTTTACCTTTAGGAAAATTTACAGTTTGCAAGATTGGGTATTCACTAATTAGCAGCTTTTCTTTCTCGCTACTATCAGTATGTTCCAGTTGTTTAGCCCATCGGCTACCAAACAAGCCAGCCTACTCAAATCATTCACTTGCTTGGTTAGGGAAACACAACTCATTTTATCCTGGTGTTAAAGCTGCTCGGAAATTTAGAAAGCATTTCTCCACTTTTTTTTTTACCCCATCTGCCAGTCCACAGAGACCATCCCCAACCTCCACACAACACTGTGTCAACAAGGACATCCCGACAGTTTTCAGAACCCTCAACATGTCAAGAAACCTCTCATCCAGCCCAGATGTGCTGCCACTGCTGAGCTTTTCATCTCCCTCAGTGTCACAGTGACCAGTGACCCTCAGTGCTTTTGCCAGAAGCCGAAGTCCAGACCTCCTGATACCTGTCTGCTGATTCAGACAAGCTACAAAGATTTTACTAACCCATTCCTTGAAGACCATGCAGTCAGGTCACGTCGGTCAAAGCACAAACAAATTTTCCTCTGAGGGCTTTACAATCTGTACAACATATGATACCCTCGACGTATCCTCTACAGCAATGGCGTACCCCCACAGGACTACCAGATGAGCTCAAGTAGCCCTTCATCCACATCATCCAACAATCCACTTTAGTAGCTGGTAGTTAATAAACCTCAGCCTCACACAAATCTATAGTCTTCTTTCTGTGTTATTTTTCTCCCTAAACAAAAATATACTGAACCTTAATATATCGTTATTTCTGTATCAAGCTACTCCACAGTCTTGCCACATATCCCCGGCAACTGCAGGCTTTACTGGGTCAGCCTCTCCTGACCACATGACCTAACTCACCATGTGGAGGTGTGGTTGGCAAGTTCCAAGGCATTTAAGCACAAATCTGACGATAAAGCCTCAAAGTCGACCTTGATCTTTGGCTTAAATTATTGTGTCTCTATCGTTCTGCCTCTTACACTAACACTAAATGTCACTAGCTGAATTCCACATCCAGTTTCATAGACAGGGTTCACTTCACTAAGACCCTTGCCTTCACCTGCCACATGACCGCATAAGCAATACAGTAAGGCAAAATGTATGTATGTAATAAGGACCGAAAGAGATCTCAACAAGTGTAAATTGTAAGTTATGTAATAGTTTAAACCACTGAACTATAAAATCCTTTTACAAAAAATATTCTAATGTCATTTTCATAACCCGGAAAGTAACAGGAATGTAAAGACAGACATCAGATTTATGTCCCAAGTACAAAGAATCTGGCTTATTCCGCCCTTTAGTTATTTCTCTTTTGTCTAAATTGTCAAGAAAAAAAACTGACCTTTGTACTGAGCTGGAGAGAAGAAGCACTCTGTGGAGGAGCGGGATAGATGGGCCACAACCTTCTCCAGAAGGTCGGCCAGCACTGAAGGCAAAAACAGACACACCTTAAATTTATGTCAGAATAGTTACAATAAATACTGTTTTCAAGGAAAATCCAGTTCACAAATTCAAATACGTTTGATGTTTTACTTTAAAAATACTTTTCCTGTAAGCCATACAGTATTGCTTCTTTATTTTAGCCTTCATTAGGATAAAAAAATACAACATTCAAGAGATCCACTCATCTTATAGACAGTTTAGAAGTGTGACATTATTACATCTAAGACTACTCTTGAAAATGTGCATCCATTCAATTTACGGCTCCATTGCCACTGATTGACCCTGAGTAGAGCGTCGCTTTTAGTGTCATATCTCATCGCTATGTTTAGAAGCCACCCACAGTCACTGTAGAGCTAATTGTGGAAATAGAGGGAAACCCTGGGTGATGAGGGTTGTAAAGGTAATACAGATAATACAGTACCAATATCTCACAACACAGGGGCCCAGGAGCACAGCTGCGACTGCACAGGACCTGTTTGTTTTAATTCATGGAGCTGGTGGGAGTCTGCCACCTAGATAAGTAATGACTTAAGCCTTATTTCACAGACATGCTCAGCTGTTTAGACCAACTTCATTTGCTTTAATAAATATTTGAAAAAACCTTGGAATGAGACATTTCTTTGTTAATATCCTGCACTGAATACATTGCACTGCACTGACTCCTTCCAGCATATAAAATGTTTAAACTGACTAATTTGGCAGCATATTTTCCACATCGTATCCCTAATCTAAGTCTGTATTTGCATTTTGCATTATGCATTACTTTAATTTAGCTGTAATTACTACTGATTTATTCAGTGTGCTCCTGATGACAGTTTGAGAAAATCCTACGGAATCTTACACCAAGCATGGTCACATATATGATTTATTCATTAAGTATATGATATTTTACCACACTGCATAATTTCCAATTCCACTTGACTCAGGTGCAACAAGGTGCAGATACTTTTTTTTTCTTTTTTTTTTACTATTAAATAAATAAACTTCTGAATTGAGTGACATTTAAAATGTAAGACGTTGTCTACATGGTAATTCTTGATGATATTTATTTTTTGCACATAAAAATAAAAACCCAATTTGAAATCTCTGAGACTTATTGTCACTTATTCTCAGTTTATTTGAATTAAAAATCTACAGGATGTATGTGAACATTTAACACCAGTTAATGTTCATTGTTTGTAGAAACATTTTTTGAGTGGTTTTGATTCAGTTTTATCGTCATTTTGGATCCTGTGGTTTGCAATGCTGTTAAAGTGCGCTGCAATGGGAAACATTATATTATAGTCTACCTTCACTGATATAAGTACTCCTTAATATGTCCTTGCACGTACTAAAATGCTAATATATAGAGTGATGGCACCACTTCAGATCCAGTGAAAGCTGATTACATAGGATCTTATCTGGCCCTACACTTGAAAGAGGACTCTTCAAGTGTCACCAGAGGAAGGTGAGACGTATCATAAAATATTAACTGCATTAAAAAAAAAAAAGAAGAAGCAGATATCGAATGATGGTAATCAAGGATTTCTATCATTTCAACATAAAAACTCTCATATAAAGTGCTAAGTGAAACAGGATGTTAGTGAAGTCATGTTCATGCAACTGCTTAACATGCAACAAAGTGATGAACGCCTCTGTAAACACACCAGTGCAGCCGTACGATCATTTCGCAATCTGCCAGTTTAGAAAACACAATGAGCGCTGATCATAACTGCTCGCAGGTTTCAGAATGCAAGTCTGACTCTGAGCTCTGGTGAATGCATCTCATTGACATGCTGTTGAGAGAGACCGATTAAGCAATCAATAGGCTTACAAGATAGTGAGGTACTGAACATGCAAACAGTTCTAATCATGAGTGTTTTGATGAAGAGATAGTATAGTTAATCATTTTTGTCTTGCAGCTGAATAGAAGCCTATCGAAGACACAAGTTCTAATCACAGCATCTTCACACGCAGAGCTAGACGTAAGTAAATGTTCAATACATTGCCTAAGAAGTAGGTTCATTTAGTAGTCAGCCTATAAAAGCTACAATTTCCGTCACTGAATGTTTCTTAAAAAGTATAATGCGAGGTTTTGCGTGATTAATGACATGCCAAGAAAAATAACACTTCTACAGCTGAGGGAAGCTCAACAGATACGTCTTGATCATAGTCTTCCAGTGAAAAGCTTTAAATGAGCACCGAAGAGCAGAGAGTGGCTGCTTTTACAGGCTGAGTTCAACAGTGTACTGATGAAAGGAGGCAATCACAGTGCGGTACATGCATTAATGACAAGGTTGTGAGCCCTCCTTCATTTGGATGTATTTTTGTTCTCCTTGAATCACCGCTATTTACTCCTACGTAGGAAAAGTAGGCGTCAGTGCCATTTCATTGTGGCTGTCAATGGCAGTGATGATGAGTCTTTAAAAGGTTCACAGACATTAGATTAATGTAGTCTTGGTGAGGAGGGGCGCATGGTGCACCTGCAGCACAATAGAAGACATCAGCAGATAATTTAGTTAAATACAGACCCCACTGTACAATATAGTCTAATTGTATCATATGGAATATTTTTTTGTTGTTCCCATTATTATTCCTATAATTATTAGAACATTTACACATGTAGCTTTATACAGAGCTAATAGGAAATATTAGCTCTCAAAGACAAATTCAAAACACTCAGCTGACCCATTTGAGTTTGTGCATCCGGTATAAACACGTAAAGGTGTACACATTCCTGCTCCATGTTCTTAACAATACATGCTAATTATGTGTGGAAAATGACATTGTTTCCATGGTATCACTTTTATATATGGTCATTGGTTAAAACAGGTGTTGACACAACCGATCAGTGTGGGATGCAACAGTCTCTAGGACATATATGTTTTTCCTCTAGGTTCAGAATGGCACACTTACTGTAAGCTGTGAGGTTATTGTATAACATGTATTCAACACTGCACCACCAGCTGCCATTATAACCACATGACTTAATATAGTCTGGTTATTTTATCCTACTGTTTAGGATACTGTGTCTCTTACTCTTATCATCTGTTATGATGAAAACAAAGACCCTGTTTATACTTCACCTCATTAGTCTTGGCGGATTAGACAGTTATCCAATCTAAAAAAAAAAAGATCTAAATGCAACTAAGAAACATTTGTGAGAGAAAAAAAAGATTGCAACATCATGGGAGTTGGTTGAAAAGGTGTAAATGCATCCATCTCTCCAAGACACATACATAATCTTTATTCCCAAGTGTAACTAATGTCAGTAAGCTGTCTGTGAAAGTAGCCTCTACACTACAGGGTCTGATAGTGGCAGCTAAATTTACACTGGAATTACACTGAAATACGATGTCGTTCTCCCTGTTGCTTGAGGCAGTGAGAGCAGAGAGAGTTACACAGAGGGAGAACAGAGCTGCAGCTAACTTCTGCTAAGTTTGGCCATTGAATGACTTGTGGTTGAAAGTATTGATATGTTAATAAAAGCCTGTGAAGACAATAAAACTTGTCTTGCTTGTAGTCCATAAAAGGGATTCATAGTTGTTAGCTTTCTAGCTGTTATTGCTTATTATTAATTGTTACAAGCCTTTATTTATTTACCCTTTTCTCTTAAACTTATATTCTTTTCAAATGTTTGCATGTAAATTGCTAGTTATCTGACACTTGTGTAATGATGTGCAGTAGGTGAGAAATTAAGATTGATTTCAGACATATTATATATGTATATAGAAAATCCTGGCTATGAGGAAGAAACACAGCCGCCCAGTGAACGAGGAGCTTACCCTTTCCAGTTAGGATGCTGGGTTTGGAGGTCATGACTTTGCAGTACAGCCTACGGCAGATCACCATCCAGCTCTCCTCACCCTTTGTTTCTTTAGATGATGCCAGAAATGCATTGATCTCAGAATCTGTACGAGGAGAAAAAACTAATCACAATAATCCGCAAGTTAATATCGGCAACTTCAGCAACGTTTCTCTTACCCTGTGAGTTATGGTGGATCTTCGGTGGGTCCAAGGTGTAGCAGTGAGGTAGAGGGTAGCTTGAAAACATGGGCCAGGGGTAAGGATCTTCACCCTGGAGTGAGGAGATGGAAAAAAAACTCAGTTAATTATTTGACCAACTCATTAAACTTTAAATGTAAATCATGATAAACAATACCAGTCCTCTTCAAACCTAAATGATACATGATATATATTATTTTCTTTGATTTATTTCTGCACCGCTCTGACTAGACAGATGTTACGGCTGTTTATGCATTGGCTCGGTTACTGATGGGTCATTGTGTTACACATGGATTGTCACCATTTGTTTGTAATCCAAGATACTAAAAAACTGTGGTGACAGTGTTTGATGATAGCATTTAAAACACTGGAAACTATTAACAGTGTAATTCAGTTACACAGTGACTTGTAGATGAATTCATTGTTGAATAATTGTTTAGCGCTGAGCTTTCAGCCGTTCATCACAACATGTGTTTATTTGTTTGCCATCAGTTCTTTCCTCCTTTCCATTTTTTTCTTCCTCTCTTCTTTCATTTATTCCTTTCTTTGTATCCCACTGCTATTTAGTGTTGCGTTCATTACGCCTGTCATAACTTTTTTAAGAACCGTAACTCTTGAGTCATAACTCAACATGTGACTCACCAAAATAATGTGCTCTAAATCTTAATTGGGTTTAAAAAGCAGGCATCTTTATCCAGTTGTCTCTGCCCCTTGCTCATGATAATCCCTGATGGTATTTGAGTCTGCCATTCAGGTGATGAGCTTCTCTGACAGCATTAGAAAAAGAAGCAAAGAGTCCAGCATGTTAGGAACGCACTCAATGGATTAATTTTCAGTGTGTTTTGTAAACTTACTTAACAACTTTCTGTTCCTTTTTTTCTCCACAAGTAACAGAAGAGATGAGCAAAAGAGACCTGTGACACATGAAGAAAATACTCGCTAAACTAATTTACAGTCTCCCCTTCAGTTATCTTTTTCATATCCTTTCCTTGACCTCAGTGAAAATTAGTTCCTGTGTTGCACTCACTGTAAACAACACCTAAATAATTGATATCTATCCCAAAACATGCTGAGTAAATAAGGCTGCAGGCTTCAAACAACGACTGAGGCCCAGTTGGTAATCAGTAGTACTCCTTTCATCTGTACTAAAATTACCAGTGGTGTAAAGTCAGAATAGAAATTGATGGATGGATGTGTTTGGATCACGAGCACAGTGAAGACTGAGTTTGTGTTAATTAAGAATAGTGAAAGGAAAGATTAAAAAGACAATTTAATCACTTCTGACCAAAAGAAAAACAACTAGCCACTATGAAACAATGTGATGAAAAGCTGTAGAACTCCAAACTGTCCAATTAATGGTGACGCAGATTTGAATCAGTTTGTGGAGCTGTTCAGTTAGTTGTTAGGATTCTTTGCACAAAATAACACTTGCTGCCATTTTTTATGTATTTTCTGACAAAAGATGGCATTTTTTTCTACTTCAATCCCTATAAATCAAACACACATAATTCTCTTTTATGCAAAAATTCAGGACTATAAGACAGGTGGAAAGAAACCACCACATTTCAAAACAAAGAAACAAAAAAAAAACAAAGAAAACCGAAGCAAAGCTGACCTCTTGCAGGGCTCGAGGAGGAAGCCTTCTCTCAGACGGACCTCCCACCACACTAGCACGGACCAGCACATGATTCCTCTCCACAGATAGACTGTCTATGATGAACTCCCTGATGAAGGCAGAGAGGATTAGACAAAGACAGCAGTGTTGGAGTAGGTGCAAAAGGAACAAAGACAACAAAAATTGCAAAGGACTCTTGGCTAATTTTATAAATGCTCATGCACTGAGATGTGTGGGCTACAGTATTTGCAAGATGACCAAACAAGAAAGACATCTGAAAAAAAGTTTGAAGAAAAAGGACATTAGGTTTCTCAGGTATATGTAGCACATGTATAAATAAATTAGAATCAATTTTTTTGCCCCATAATATTCTTGTCTATTTGATAGACAAGGTCATGCAAATTAAAATCACAACCAAATCACTAACACTTCAAAACATCCCCAATTTAGTGTAGCTCAGACAAGTGTCTTTGAAAAGTCAGAAAACTTTGCAAAGAGTTTGAAGCCTCAGAATGACTGTGACTGTATCATTGCTGCAAGGTAAGTTAGAGAAGAAAGAGATGAATTTCTATGTTGAATTTCAGATAAGATCAGAGAACATTATAATTATAAAGGCACTTTAGGGTCGAAGGGTGTCAGCCTTGGTAGATAGTTACTATAGCTGAGGCAATTTGGCCTCGAAATTGGAAATAAAAAGGGACTATCTTCTTGTACAGTTCTCTTTCCAAGAGCCTGTTTGCCACAAAATGTAATTTGCATAATTTTTTTCAGGATAGAAAAGTCACATCACTCATGACTCAAACAACCAAAGTAAAATAAAATGTGCAGATTGTTCTTACAAAGTAGTTTTGGTGAAAATTTGGGTGTCATTGATATTAAAAAGGTCAGAGCAACTGAGAAAAATAGAGAGTTAGGGGTAAAGAATGAAACAAAAAGGAGGGTAAATCAAGAGTGAGATGCCAAAAAGTAAAGTTTAGATGACATTGAACAGGAGAGAAAGAGGAGGAGGAAAAGAGGAGGGTAAAAGGAAAGAAGAGATGACGATAATGGGAGCACAAGGGGAGGAGAGGGCAAGAAAGAGAGATGGGAGGATAAATTAACAAGTCATCATTCTTGAAAATTGAGCCAGCACTCAGACATGCGGTGTGAGTTGGCATTTCAGGGCCATTTCCATTCATAACCAATAGCCATGGCTCTGCCGCACATTACAAAAGAGAGAGGGGCTCTTGAACACCCACTTTCGGAAATGGCCTTTTCACTTTCTTTCTGCTTTATTTCATTTTATTTGTGACAAGGCAAACAAACAAACAATTTCTCATCCTGAGCGATGATTAAATTTGAAAGTGTTCTGTCATATCAGGCTGATGCAGAGAGGAGCAAAAAGCCTTTTCTGAATGAGTACGAGAGAGAATGACTATGTGAGAGTTGAACATGCTCGCTGTGGAAGCTATTGAAATGTCTAAATGTCTGAAATAACTTCCTTCAGTTCACCTTGCTCTGGCTGGAGTAAATTGAACTTTCTAGAAAACATACTTTGACTGAAATGTCTGGAGAAGCCACAGGAGTAATGTCAAAGTGCAGAAAGTGTATTAAAGGAATAGTTCAACACTTTGGGAAGTAGGATTTTATTTCCCTGTCCAAAAGTTAGATTAGAAGATCAATATCCCTCTTGTGTCTGTGTGTCAAGACCATGGATGGATTCATGACGTGGTCAGCTAAGGGTAGTAGTACTGGGCACTGTTTGTCAAAAAATAGTTCCACATACAGTAAATCCCCATGTATAAAATCAAAAGTTGGCAATTGCATTTTTGTATGAACAGATTGAACAAGATAATATGTTTTAATTCCTAAGGTTTAGAGATGAGTCTCTTTGAACTTGGAGATTCCAGGCTAGCCATTTCCCCCTGCTTACACTTTTTATGCTAAGCTAAGCTAACCAGGTCCTTGCCTCAGCTCCATACTTAATGCGCAGAGATGAGATGAGATTGATATTGATCTTTTCCTGTCACTTACAGAAAGAAAGCAAATAAGTGCATTTCCCAAAATGATGAACTATGTAACTAATGTTGAACTATTTATAAGTCAAAGAAACCTTTAGATGCCAAAACCTTTCTGTTGTCATATTATATTACATTATTTTATTCTATATTTGTCTTTTGTCAACAAATCCCATGAAAAAAACACATTAGTTTGTCTCTTATTATTTAATCAGTTATTAATATCTTATTCCTTTCCAATTTAAGTTACAGCCACCACAGTCCTTCAGTTAAATGATCTCGTCCTAATGTCAAGGAGAGGACAATAATGAAACAGCATCATATTGCTAATAATAAATATTTTCGAATGTATTCTCATTCAGGATTTATAGCAGAAGTAACTAGTATTTTGTGTTTGCAAGTTATAAAGGGATATGACGCTTATCTCTGGAAATGTGTGTCAATGGCAAAATCACTACAAAAGAACAATACAAAATACATTTTAAAGTATGCGTTCATGAGCTCATACCCCTCACTGGTGACTGGCTCAGTGGCGTTCTCCCTCTGACTCTGCAGCAGCATGGAGCAGATGTTGTACTGGCTCTCCAACAGCAGAAATGAGTCCAGATTACAGCAGAGCACACTGAGCAGTCTTCATCAAACACAAACAAGCAAAAACAAATACATTAAAATACATTAAAATACAGAGAGGACTGGCATTGTGAGATACAGTAGCAAAACAGCAGCACAGAGCAGCTCAGGCTTCAATGTAGCATATACTGTACAGCAGGGCAGAACCAAGCGGACACACCCACTTGGAATTCAGTCTATTTCCTCTGGCGTTGTATGTCTGCAAGTGCTGGATCAGTCAACAATTTTTCTCCACCAGCTTGCCGTAGCCAATTGTAAGCTTTGTTAAGTAGGAGCCCTTGGGAAAAGCTTCATGGTTCATTTTGAGTTGCTGGTAATGACACCGGGCTCAAGCAGGCTGTTAAGCTCCAGTGGTATTTTGAGAAACTAAAGAAAACTAAGAGCCTGAGACAGCTTTTTGTTTTATATGGTCCATTACCTATAGAAAGGAAAAGCTTCAGAAAATCTTTTAAGCATGCATTGATTACTTTTTAACTTAAGCATTACTACTGGTCACAGTTTTAATAGCAAATTATATCATATATAAAATCATTAAAAATCCCAGGTGAACTTCAACACCACCTCCTCACACTAGTACCAGAGTTTATCTTGCCGAGAAGTGATACCACTCTGTGCATTAAGTATGGAGTCTGAACTAGAAGCAATGAGCCTTGTGAATCATGAAGATAAAATACACCTACAAACTCACTACTTAGCACATTGTATCTCATTTGTTTAATCTGTATGCAAACCTAAACAAAAAAGCGGCAACTTTTAAAAAGGGAGTTGCATGCTGCAACAATTACTTGAAGAACTACAGTTTGCATACAATAATAATAATAATAATAATAATAATAATAATAATAATAATAATAATAATAATACCTTTATTGATATAGCACCTTTAAAAACAAGGGTTTACAAAGTGCTTTGACATTAAAGCACGAACAACAATGGCAATGGCAGAAGAACCCAAACAACAACAACGATATGTAAACCCATAGGAGCCAAAGCAAGCAAGCCAAGCAACACCTGCCTGCCCAACACTATACCAATGCTATACACATCACAGTTTTACATTTCTGTTTGTGTATGGATTAAACAAATATGTGATAAAAAATGAGTTAACATGCTACAGTAGGTAGCCATTTGAACAAGCTAGCCGTTTCCTCCTGCTTCCAGTCTTAACGCTATCAGCCAAGCCATCTAGATTCAAACTTGTCGCATAGACATGAGAGTGTTATTGATCCTCTCATCTAACTAGACCCAAAACCTGTAGAGGCTTCCAGAACCACAGCAGTCAACACAAAAACACACACTTGGAATATTTGGGAATATTGTGTGACTATCAGAAATGTGATTAACTTATTCCAGTAATGACTAATTGCCAATTACCTGTGGAAAGCCCATATAAAGTGACACATTTCTACTCTGACCAAGCCATTATTCAGCTAAAAGACATGCAGCAGGGCAATGTAAACCAAGTGGGGTGATTCAACTGCTTCTGTCCGAGCTTAATCAATAGCATCAATAGTCTCGGATCTTCTTTTGCTGTTCTATACAAATAGTCTGATGCTTAAAGTCATTCAAGTTTTAAATTTAGTAGAAAATCTGTTTTATTTACCAATACTCTGTACATGAATAGTATATTACTGTACTTTTTAGACAGTTTTATGTATGTGCAAGTTGATTTCCTTCATCATTATCACTGCTATTAGGGAACAGCAGTTTTTTTAAGCTAAGATGACAAAAACAACAAATGAACAGAAATGTCAGGCTTATTTTTGAACATTTAAAAGCCTTTTTAAAATTACCACTTGTATCCCAATTTCACAAAATGTCATTTCAATTTCTAATCGTGCAGATGTATGTTTTTTTTTTACTATTACAGCATTAACTCTGCATGTTGTTTGGAGTCGTGTGTGTGTGTGTGTGTGTGTGTGTGTGTGCCGTGGGTGTGTGGGTGTGTGTGTGTGTGTGTGTGTGTGTGTGTGTCCTAAGTGCGTTGGTCCTTGTGAAAAACATCTCTCCTTTTAAGCAGCTGCTTCGTTTCCTGATGTACTGGGCAGTTACTTGGACTCCCGTTTGACTGACAACTCTACTCACTCATTCTGACAGCGGCACAGCAAGAGGCTGAGAATCTGTCAGGCCTTCTGACCTCTCACAGTCTGAGACAATGAACTAGAGAACCAGGCATGCCTCAAACCTTGTTGCCAGCTGGGGTTCTCATTCGAGGGCTGCAGCTAACGATTATCTTTATCATCAGTTAATCAGCTGATGTTTTATTCGATTAAATGCTTGGTCTATGAATCATGACAAATGCCATCACGATTTCCCAAGCGATTGCCTAAGCAAATGGCTTATTTTGCCCAAGCAGCAGTCCTAAATCTAAACATTTCACTTTACTATTGTAGAAGCTGATGATTCATCAGTTATTCATCAAAACTATAGCAAAATCATTTTTTCTATCAACAAATCAGTTGATTGACTGTTTCATCGATAATTCATTTAATTATTTCTGACACCTTTGGTTGTAAACCACATGGACAGACTGCTACCAAACTTTGCCTCCAAAGACACTCTCATGACAGCTCTCCAACAGCCTAACATAACCTCTGACCTCAGCCTAAATTCAACTAGAATTACTGCCTGGTGGTTGTCTGCCTCCGCCACTCGGACTAGTTTCAGGTTACATCCCTGTTTATGCAGAATCATATAAAATATTAACCATTTGTGTGAAATTATGTCATAATTGCTGTGTGTAGTCTTGTGTTTCGGATAAAAAGTGTTTTGTGCAGTCAAAGTGATCTTTGAATCTCATCAGTTTGTCGAGTCTCAGTGGACATTTGTGCCAAATGTGAAGGGATTCCCTTGAAGAGTTCCCGAGATATTGTGTTCACAAGCCCAAAACCGTATCCTGTAAAGGTCACCGAGACCTTGACCTTTGACTTTTGACCACCAAAATCTAATCAGTTCATCCTTGAGTCCGAATGAATAGGCATTACAGAGATATCGCGTTCACAAGAATGAAAAAGACTGACAGACAACCCTGTTGCTGGCGCAGAGGCATAAAAATGGCTGACAACTCATTTAATTGTTGAGCTACACTAATATGCGGAATTAATTTCAATACTGTTTTTGACAAGAAAATACAAACAAATTTGTTCATAATTTATCATTTGCCTCTACTTAACTAACCATAGTTGTTTCTCAGCAAAGCATTACTGTAAATACACACAGTGGATGACAAGGCACAATAAGCTGCACAGTTAGCTCCATAGGAGGCCAAACACCCTGATGTGGGTAATGTGCAAACGCTAATTAACAGCACAAAGTAGGACAGTGGGGCAGCATTGCTAAACTGTATTAAACAGCAGTTTGAAAAAGAAAGTCGATGACCACATTCAGTCAGAGTGACTGTAGATCATTTCTCGCATCTAATGTCCTATTTATAAATAAAGACATTTATATTCAAATTGAAGTCAAAGAAAGAGAAACACTGAGCTGGATGGTTGAGATTATTGACACACTACAATTCATCTCCTCAAACAATCTAACTTGTTATAGATTTTATTCATGCTGACCAGGAATATGGCTCACTTCATCTGATGTTGAAAGACATGCAGTGAAACACCCATTTATGACAGATGATTATGTGCCCACATGCATCAGAAGACTTGAGTTTAAACCAATTAAAACCCAAGAGTAATTTTCTTGCCAGTATGACTGATGATCACACTACTGATTGATTAGTCATGCTCGAGGTGAGATGCAAATGGTCAATAATTTGGTTGGTTTATAGCAGGCAGCTGGGAGATCATTTAAAAGTTGCAGTTATGAAAATGTTAATAATTAATCAATCATAAAATCATTAAAAAGCGCAGTAATGAAAAGAAAATCTCTGGAAATATGGACCTATGGAAATCATTTTTCATAGGTTTGTGGAAATGCTAAATAGTAGTAAATCCCCAAAAATCTAACAGTTTTCAAGATCAACACTTACATAGTACAAAGTAGAGATAAAGTAGAGATAAAATACCCCTGCTACACCACTCTGCACAATGAAAACAAGTGCTTTAAGTTAATGATCTGCACATATCAAGGTAGCAGCATGAAAAGCCCACAGGCTGTGCATCGTCAAAGATCAATTAGAAGCTTCATTTGGGCCTGAGCACTACATGCAAATCCCAACAATGGGAAACCAAACCATGAAACTTTACTATACTGTGGGGAATCTTGACTTTTTAATCTGTTGTTACTGAGCCTGAACCAAAACAAAGTAATCAGTCACATCTGACTTATTTGATGCAACAGAATGAAACTCCAAAATATGTATCATCTTTTATTCATTCTTGATCTATTTCAGTCTAGTTTACTTTGTCTGGGGAGGTGAGACGACCACAGCTGAACTCTGGTGAGAACAAAAGAACTCTGACCTGACACTAGGACTTTGTCTGAGTCCTATAAAGACTGTTCCTGTCAGTGCTGCACTGTCTGTGTAGTACCTGTTCGGTTCCCATATGCAAGGGCCTCACCTTGACCTGAGAACCTCTGGACCTTCCTGCAATACAAACATAATCTTCATCATGTCTGAATTGCAGAAAGAATAAAGACTGCGACTCTTTTCTGCTCCATCCATTGTGCATAGGGCATGAGTTTTGAGATTTGGTTTATTCTTAAAGTTGTATGATCATATTAATAAAAATGTACACCAGCACACACACACACACACACACAATTGCAGTGTTTAGAAACATCAACCGCAGAGAGAGTAGTGTTCAGGCATCCAAACAATTTACACAGCAGGGGAAAAAACGGTGGGAGGAAGAGGGGGTGATTACCATGACAACAAAGAGGCTTTTAGCAACAAGGAAAGGGGCTGAGGAATTTTTGCTCATTAGCTTGTGAAGATCAAGAGGGGTGGAAATTGTGCCTTCTTTTTTTTTTTTTCAAGGGGGCCGCACTTGAGGAATGCTAAGTGCATGTTTGTTTGACAGTGGTGCTGGTGATTAGACTTGGGTT